TCTTCTTATTATCCTAACTCGGTATTAATTTCATTGCCCTAGGAAAATTCGCTTATGTCAAACTGTGATTTACAAGAAGAAATAACAAAAAAGTGACAAGCAGTATCATTTTAGAAATCACAACATTTAACTAGGGGTGGTTGCGGTTCGGTAACCGCGAATTTTTACTCAAACCGCAAACCGACCGACTATTTGCGGTTTGGTGATTTTTGAAACCGCAAAATACGGTCGGTTACCGCGAATTAGCGGTTTAAAACTGCAAGTTGTCAAGCATTCACAAAAATATAAATTCACAACCTCAATTTCTCAAACATATATAAATTCACAATCTCCTCAACTTCTCAAGCATTCACAACCTAAGAAAATTAAAGTTACAATTCCAAGCATTCCAATTAAAGTTAAACTTCTCAAGCATTCAAATTCTAAATCCTTTAAAGTTATAAACCAAAAGGAAAATGCAAAGCAAAATGAATTAAAATTACAATCAAAAAGAAAAATTCAATTCAAAGTTAATTAAAGTTACAAACTAAAAGGAAAATGCAATGCACCAATATTACAAACTAAAGTTACAAACTCAAGTGTTGGTGGTGAGTGGATTTGAAGAACCCCGTTGTGTTGTTTGAGCACCAATGTTATCTACAAATAAAACAACATAGTTTAGTACATTTTATTATAAGAAGAAACATAAATAACATTAACATAAATAAACTAATTACTTACAAGTTGTCATATGTTTCATTTCCTTGTAGAATTCAACCTCATCATCCGTGCGGCTATACTTTGCGGTTTGCGGTAACCGCAAGTTTTGAAAATCAAATACCGCAACCGCAAATGCGGTTCGGTTCTTAATACCGCAAATACGGTTCGGTTTACCGCGATTGCAGTTTCATTGCGGTAAATTATCGGTTGGTTTTTGCGATTTTTCGGTTTTTTCGGTTTAAAATGCCACCCCTACATTTAACCATTGTCCTAAAAAACGAGGAGGTACAAAAATCTTCAATTTTTGCCAGTGGCCTGATCACTTTGTCCCCCATTAAGTGAGCTCGTCCCAAAAAAGGTAGTCTTTAGGCGTACAAAGGAAAAACAATATATTGAAGTTATTGTCCGCCTGCAATTCCAGGCTGTTGTGCAAGCCTCACCAAACTTTGCTGAAAAAGGCACACTTCAGCTCTCCTGTCACGTCATGTATAGGATCATCAACAACCACATGCATGTGGGGGAACTTATAACATATGTTTCCTTCTGCCTTGGGCCAACTTGTTGAGTATATATTCAACAAAAGAGTTTTTAAAATAAATTGTCTATAAACTTATACCCGAATTTTAATTTGATATTTCAATTTTTTTTATTTCTTTAATTTAGTCATTTCGTTAATTTGAGAGTAAAAGTGTCAATTTGGATACAATTATTCTCTAAAAACCAATAAACAATATTACCAAAAAATTAAATTGAAACATGTGCGAGAGTTGAATGATCAAATTAATTACGAAATCAATTTAAATAGCAAAATGAAACGCTGGTATAAATTCAGGAACCATTATTTATAAAATCCCTTGAACAAAAGTAACAATAATGATACGGCCCCTCCCAACTAGGATCTCCAAAAGTAGTTGGCACCGCAAAATTTAGATGGTTAATTGACAATGTGTTAAAGAAGAGTAGAAATTTGATTGTTCTTTTTGAAGTTGCATATTTTATTTTGATATAAGTGATATTAAGAAAGGGGAAATCGAACTAGACCTTAGACGCAAATATAAATATTCTTAACCGCTTAAACTAGAATTCTCCGTCTTTGATGTCGCATTTGATAGAAACAATCCTGCCAACTTGGGAGAGGGCATAAATAGAGGTGGGGTTGGATTATTGTGAGACTTTTAGAGGTGGACCAATAGACCAATAAATCAAAACATTTGTCAACTACTTTCTCCTTGCATGGTCAATGTAAATTATTTATAAGGCAAAATTGGAGCTTCCTTCGTTTTTCTTGTTTGTTCATTTTTTTCATTTTTTTCGATCTGTGTTTCATTCTAAGCAAGGCCTGCACAAGTGTATTTGTATATTAATAGGGTCAAATGCATACACAGTTATTCGGAGAAATATTTAAATCCAAAACGATATACATCCAGAAGGAATGCCAAAATAATTCTCTAACTTACTTGATAAATCAAGTACCTAAGGGCAGCTTACTAAATTTATTATTAACTTTTCATCCTATTTTGATCGATTTATTCTATGTTATACATCATGTTCTATCTGCCAAAATGTCTCTGTATATGAATTTTTTTTCTTAAATTTTGGGAAATGAAGAGGTTTTTATATTAGTTCCTATAAGAGAGGAAGAGAGAGAGAAGCTTATGCAAGTACATCCAAGAACAAAAATACTCTTTTCTGCTCCCACCAACAATCACCTCTAGCCCAACGAAAAATGACCTTAATTTGTAGATCAGTGGTTTTAAGTTCGAACCCTTATAGTGTGAGAAACTTCACTTCCTCCTTCTAGTTTAGACTATTTGTGTGTAAGAAACTCCCCCTCCTCCTTCTAGTTTAGACCATTGCTTGTATTAAAAACAAAAACAAAAACCCTTTCTTACTCCATATGAGATTTTTGAGGACCATAGTACAAATGGGGCATAAGTTAAAGGACTAGTGCTCTCAAAACAATCTTAAAATTTTTTTTTTTGAATGAATATTTTGTTAATGAAAAATAAGGCCCACAAAATAGCAACTCAAAGGTGCTAAAAAAAAATATCAAGGAACATTGCACAACACTAGACAAGAAGAGTGCCTACCAAATAATAAACCAAACTGAAGGCACAAAACAAAGGCATAACAGAATACAAACCTTTTCAGGCATAGGAGAAAATGCATTATAAATGAAGGTGTACGATTTAGTATAGGGCCCCAAAAGTTGAAGTATTAGAGCACTTCCAGCAGTTTGCCCTTTGCCATGGCAAGGGGGGACTAGGGCAGTTACTATTCACATAAATAGTGCATGCCTTTGCAAACTATTATGGTGTTTCCACCAATTGCTATGGCAACAACTATTCACATGAGATATGTAAAAAAAGATCAAGGAACATTGCACAACACTAGACAAGAAGAGTGCCTAACAAATAATAAACCAAACTAAAGGCACAAAACAAAGGCATAAAAGAATACAAACCTTTTCAGGCATAGGAGAAAATGCATTATAAATGAAGGTGTACAATTTTGTATAAGGCCCCAAAAGTTGAAGTATTAGAGCACTTCCAGCAGTTTACCTTTTGCCATGGCACCGGGAGGGGGGGGCTAGGGCAGCTACTATTCACATGAATAGTGGCTGCCCTGCCTATGCAAAAGGTTGTGGTGTTTCCACCAATTGCCATGGCAACAACTATTCACATGAGATATGAGGTGAGAAATTTGTATAGAGTTTTGGTGTGGGAAGTGAAAACTATGAATAAGTATTTATTTTTAAAAAAATCTGAATTTTTTTCTGTATTTTGTTAAGATTTTTTTTTAAAATTTTTTTGTTGCTGACGTCAGCAAACCCGGGCTTAAACTATGGCTGATCTTGCCTGAGGGCTGGCCTGGTTTCGTGAGTTCCACCTCTTGCCAGGGCTAGCCCTTGCTGCTGGAAACGTTTTTTGGCCCAAACCCACCCAGCCCGAGCCTAGCCTTAGCTGCTGGAAGTGCTCTTAATGGATAGATATCTCCTTGGGACGTATCATATGTACAATATGAACTATACAGTATAGGTTATTGAATACAAGGCCCATTTCTACTTTCAGAATTAATTGTTTTCCTGTGTAGGTTTTTTTTTGGTCAAAACTTTTTATAGGTTGGATGAGTGCTCTTGGAGTTCATTTCTTACGTGCCTTTGAGTTCATTTCTTAGGAAATTCATGCAACGGAAGATCCTAAATTTGAGACTTTCAACACCAAAAAAATTCTTTTAAAACGAAAGTATTCGTGCATGGATGGCAGCTCAAGTTCCATGTCCACAACTGAGATTTCCATTTCCTCAACTAGTCTGCGCTTCTTGGGGTGGTGATGAAGTAATTGAGCTTATTCCATAGCTAGTCAGCTCGTGTACAAGCCTCTTGAAGCTTGGGAGGTCAGTGAAGTTAGACCACGAACACAAGAACCTTATCAAACTATGATATTTGAAAAGTTCATAAAAAATGAACACATTACGGGATGAGTAGAACAATGGAGAATGTGTATAGGCAAAAATAGTGTTATATGTAGTTCAATCTCTTGCTCACCATTTGTTGATGACCCAAAATTTGGCACAACAAAGTAAGACCGACATAATTACACCAAGAACACGAGCGAAGCATCGTGCTTTACTGAAGTCGGGTTACATACACGTTGAGTAGTTTTGAGATTTTCATTATGATAATGTAGGTTACATTTTATAAGAGGAGAAAGCTTGTAAAAGTAAAAATAAATAATGTATAGGGAATTAGGATACAATGTAACCGTTGAGTACTTTCGAGATTTTCACAAAGATAATGTAGCTTACATTTTGCAATAGCAGAGAGCCTGTGAGAGTTCCCTCAAATAGGCAAAGGCTTGGGCCTTCTTCACTTGTGAGCTTCGGGTTTAAGCTAACCCCATGACTATGATAATTTGGACCAAATTTGAATGCCAACCACATTTTGCTTCAATGGTTGGATGTGATGAACTTTCACAACCAATGTTGCTCTCAAGAAAAAAAAGAAAAAGAAATACTAAAGATTTTAAATAAAAACACTTACATTTAGCAATGGATACTGTCCCCAACAGCCCATTGACTACACCAAATCTCAGCCGTTGATCCACATGTCTCCATCACACAGCCATTTTCTTACACATCAACGGTTCATGTTCCACACACTCATGCACCAACCGCGCCAGATTCCACCTTACTCCACTTTGACTCCCCCACAAAACCCCAAAGACCTCCATTGGATACTCATTCCACCCTCACTCTGATACACAGACTCCACCAAAAAGCGCGCGAACCGAAGCGACGAAATGCCAGAGCTACCGGAGGTGGAGGCGGCCCGGAGGGCCATAGAGGAAAACTGCCTGGGGAAGAAGATAACGAAAGCGCTCATCGCCGACGACCCCAAAGTCATCGACGGAGTCTCTCGCGCCGACTTCGAGGCGTCGCTCTTGGGAAAGACCATCGTCTCTGCTCACCGCAAGGGCAAGAACTTGTGGCTCCGCCTCGACTCTCCTCCTTTCCCTTCCTTCCAATTCGGTGCCGTTTCGATACTTATAATCACCATTGTTGTCAATTTTATCATCACTCTGACAATGTACTGCGAAAATTCATATGTAATAATGTCTGGTGTTTGCGGTTGTATGAGTTTCAGGGATGGCGGGTGCTATATATATTAAAGGGGTCGCGGTCACCAAATATAAGAGGTAAGGGTGTTTGCCCATGAAGTGAAATAAAATAGAAAGACTGAATTTTTGGGTTCCCTTTGGTGTTTTGGGCTGACCCAAACGAAGGGTTCAAGTAAAGAAGTGATTTTTTATTTTATTTTAATTTTTACATGATGTTTGATTGAATTGCTTTCAGGTCTGCCGTAAAGGACACTGATGAGTGGCCTTCCAAGTATTCCAAGTTATTTGTTGAAGTACGTAAGAATTAATATTCTAAGTCACCAACGGTGATGTTTTTTTGTTTTTTTGTTTTTTGTTTTATATATGCTTATTTGGTAATGATTTTATCAAAATGAAATTACTGAGGCTGTGAGGGTTTCTCTGAGTCCGAGTCTAGTTGTTCGTGGTTTTAGCAGGAAATGTATTCGAGTGAGAGACAACTTAATTTTAGCGATTGTAATTATAGCTACTAAACAAGGTCTTTAGTTTCTGAGACATTTCAGAGTACTCAGAAGTTAACAGCCACTCTTTGAAGGTGTATATTCTTTTAGGATTTTCTGAATTTTAAATTATCTCACATGCGAATGTTGAAGAAGGAAAAAATAAAAAGGGTGAGGATTTCCTTATAATTTTTTAATGAATGTGAATATTTATGTGTCTTCCATGCTGCAAGCAACAATGGTGCGGACCTTTCTTTATTTGAGATTTTATGTGCTTGAGAGCAGTTGGTAAAGGAAATAGTTGATCTGAATCTTCTTATGTGATTCTGCTTCATGATCAAGTTTCACTTCAGTTGCAATTAGTTCCTTTCTACAATAGTTTGAGCCATTAAAGCTCATGGATGTATATTTCTTTTTCAATGTCTTTTCTCAAGTTTGTTAATCAAAGTGGAGTAGTAATTGTCTGACTCATTTATTTGTACTGATTGTAAACAATTTTATGAAGTACTTTCATGGATTTGATTGATCTGTTTTTTTGAATAAAATATGGGTCATATTGTGAGTTAACTTATCCCATTATGACTGTCACATACTCCTTGGGCAGCTGGATGATGGTCTGGAGTTCTCTTTCACTGACAAGAGGCGATTTGCTAGAGTCCGCTTGCTCAAAGATGTATATAATATCCTCCTTAACCTCTAAAGTTTTCATGTTCTTTTAAGCTGGCACTCTAATAAGCTTTCAATTTGTTGGTACAGCCAGCATCTGTGCCCCCCATATCTGAGCTTGGGCCTGATGCTCTCTTGGAGCCTATGACTGGGGATGAACTTTTTGAATCCTTGAGCAAGAAGAAAATTGCAATTAAGACTCTATTGCTTGATCAGGTTAGTACAGCTTAGTTCATTTTTTTAGCGTGTCAAATTATGGATAATATTACCATGGAATACAAATCAAAGGCTATTCTACAAGTGTATAGTTGTATGTGTAGATATCGTTTTAAATTCTCTGTTATGTGTTTACAGTATAGATAATACCCTTTTTTTACATGTTTGCAGAGTTACATTTCAGGAATTGGAAATTGGGTTGCTGATGAAGTACTATACCAAGTCAGTTTGGTCTTTATACTTGAACAGTATCCTTTTTCTTATTTACATTTAGTTGACATGAGATTGAACTATTCTAGGGATCCAAATGATGGGGTAAGATTGAGATACTGTATGGTCCCAGAAAAATGATGAGATTGAGATGGATGAGTTGCAATACTGAAAACTAAATAATTTTCGGTTAACTAGAATATGAGCTGGTCTGGATAAGAGAGATATATTGATGACCTAGATTTACAAGGGCCGTAGGATTAGGGATTCTTTTTGTCCTCTTTTAACATTTGATGCATCCAATTCAGAATAAGTAGTCAATTCCAAGAGTCTTGTCTAAACAAAACATATCCAAATGTAACCTAAGATGATTTGGTCATAGTTAGTAATTACTGAGAATGGAAACTTGCAAGAGAGATAGTATGCTTCAGGTTAACCAAACTTCAGAGTCTAAAATGACTTCTGGTTGTGACAGGAAGAAAGAGCATGCACTTTGCTGACCTCCATTAGCCAGGGTTTATGGCTTTGTGAAATTCAATTATTTTTTCCAGGGGATTGGAAATATGCTCAATTGAATTCCTTTTATATGATACATAAAGAAACTTCTAATTTACGCCTGGTGCTGATTCTTAGAGCTATAAGCTTTAAATTATTACTGGTTTTTCTTTTGTAGGTCTAGATTATGCCTAATGGTGGACTTTTACAGTTTATCTGATTTCTTACAGGCTAGAATTCATCCAGAGCAAAGTGCTGCCAGCTTGTCGAAAGAAAATTATGGAAATTTGCACAAGAGCATCAAAGAGGTGAGAGATTTAACTTCTTGTATTGAGTCTCTGCTAGTACCTGTACCTGTACTTTTATTTTTATTTTTTATTTTTCCGAGAGGTGAATATGCACTCTTCATTGCAATATAGAGGATGAATACCTGTAGGTTATTGAATATGCGGTTCAAGTTGATGCAGACTCTATCCAGTTTCCCGGTGAATGGTTGTTTCATTTTCGGTGGGGCAAAAAGCCCGGAAAAGTTAATGGTAAGAAACTGGAAATATATGTGGTCATTTTGACAAGAGTTTATTTTACAGGTTATCAAAAAATCACTTGAAGTTGGGGCAGATAGTAGTCAATTTCCAAGTAATTGGATTTTTCATTCCCGTGAAAAGAAGCCTGGAAAGGCTTTTGTTGATGGTTTGGTTTCTGACCCTCAGTGTGATTATATGTTATTGCCTAACATTTGGTTAATTGATGTTTTCATGTAATGCAGGGAGGAAAATTGACTTTATCACGGTTGGTAGCAGGGTATGTCATGCTAAAAGAGGCCCTCTTATATTGCTCTTGTGGCAATTCTAAGTTTTTCTTTTCAGTGGTCCTTATTTATTTTTTACTTTGGGTTTTGTTCTTCTAGACTACAGCGTATGTACCAGAGCTTCAGAAGTTAAGTGGACAGCAAGCTGCCAGAGCAGGGAGTAAACAAGCTAACAAGAGAAAAGGGCATGGTGATGGTGTCAATGATGATGTTAATGAAGCAGCGAGTGATGAAGAAGTTAATGGAAGTGTGCAGTCAAAGAAAGGGAGGAAGCCTAGAGGTCAAGGTAAGAGGTCATCAGCAAAAAGAAAATCTATAGAGAGTGATGATGAAGACAATGCCAATGACAGTGAGGACGATGACGATGATAACAATGATGATCGTCATGATGAAGATCAAAAGAATAAAACAAGAAAAGTGACCAATAATAAGCAATCCAAGGTAGAGAAGACATCAAAGAAAACAGTCCAGACCAGTCAGAATAGTAAGAAGAAGAAGAAAGCAAAATAGGTAGCTACCGAGATATATTCAACACCTATGATGCATAGCCCAGCTCTTTTTGGAAGTACGGGATGATGGGCGTACAAGCGGATTCAGTTTTTGTAACCGACTCTACCCAGCGGATTCAGTTATTGTAGCCAACTCTAGCCAGTAGTAAGCCTTTTTTTATCATGAACTTGGCCAGTGCTAAGCAGTTATACTAATGACTTCCATTATGTATTATATGCGCAATTGTTGTTGGAAAATACTCCCTTTGCTTGCACCTAAAGTAGTGGTTTTCCACTAATGAGGTTTAAATGCGTTACAGTAGAGGCGAATAATCTTGACTGGACTTTCAAGATACAAGACTACTAACAATGGCAGAACAGAAAGAAGACAATTATGAAATTCTTAGTTTTTATTTATCGTTGTTTACTATAATACATATAAAAAGAATAGTACATTAAAAAAAAATCCGAGTCCAATGTTTACAATATGATACACACAACAAAAAAGGAGAAATATTTACACACGAACTGCCAAGGCAGCTGGTAGGATCTTTTTTGCAGTTTAATGAATCCCCTCAAGTCATGCAGCTGTTTAACTGAAAGGAAATCACAGAGTAAAGGAGCATTGTTAGGTGAATTCTCCTCGTACTCATTGTTATGTCATTGACGACTTGGAAATTTGAGAACAGAAAACAATCGAGCATTCCAACAGAGAAATCATATCACTTCAAGTCATAGAACTAATGAGCACATTAATAGAATTATATATAAACCATGCAGCTCTAGTATGCTCATGCAGATAATTATATGCTGTATCGGGGGGAAAGGGTTGGCTTCTGATGTACAGCAGTCTCCTTCGAAAATGCAACATGCTACAATTAATTGCTTCCGGAATAATATGATCACTTGATTGTAGCGAAACATATGCTACTTTATCAACTATTGTTTCATGTTTACCAGGGCACAAGGAGACCCTTCTCAAGTAGGTATTTGAATAATTTGCAGAAGTAATTCAACTAAGTTGACAGAAGATGGAAAGGTTTTCTTACCTATTAACTTGGAAGATGATGCTGATTTCCAGATTAAAGGTGGATCGTGCATTGAACTTAAAAGAATACTCTCAGAGCAGTAACTACTCTCTCTGGCCTGTTGCATGTTTGTCAATACTTCATTAAGAAAAGTGAAAGGGGCAAAATGGTGTGAGACACATGAATTCTAACTGAAATCTGAAAGTCATTTACCAGTCCTCCTGTGGCATATGCCCAGCACCTTCTATCAACTTAAGCTTGACAGCAGTAGGGTTTCCTTCCTGAAACTCTTCCGCCACAGATTGAGGCAGATACTTGTCTGCAATCCCCCAAGCAACTAGAGTCGGTATATCCCAACTGAAGTCCAGAAGCCATTTTTTAGCAAGTCATCAGCAACAAGTAAAATACATTATCAGAAACATGAAGATAAATGAAGTTAGAACAGTTATAAAAAATTCAAAGTTGTCTTGTTGACCATGAAATGACAATAATCAAGTTGATAAGAGACCTATCACTATGGATGCAGTAAATGGCCAATCTGAGGTAAAAACAGAACTCTAGATACTTTATAAATTTGAATTGTGCACATTCGCTCTCAGCTAAACGACTTTTTATACAATTCTTTTTTTGGACAGATTTTATACAATTCAACGATATTATAGAGGCACAAATAAAACGCTAAGCTATCTATTCTTGGCTGTAACATCTTGTGTCACAGAATTCTTTAGACTTCATGCTAGAGGATGCAAAAAAGGTGCAATTTTTTTAGGTATAATGTTACTTTGAGGCAAATATTAATCAAAACAGTAAAGACCAATGGATGTACAAGTTTCTCCTCTTTAACATCTGAAAAACAGAAATAGAATCCCACAAAACTGTCTATGATTTGACCATCGGAGCCTTTCTTCATATTATCATCTCTCCACGTTAACTTGAGTTAGGTATTGACTTATAACACACGAATTTTCCTTTAGGTTATAACAAAGTCTGGCAGCTGTTATTCTAAATTCCAGAGAACTTTTTTATAGGCTCAAATTGTCATTTTAAATCTGTCAACCTTTCGAGTTCAAAGCTATAAACATATGACAAAAGCATGCAAACGAGAGCCAACGTATTTAAAAGATAACACAGTAAAGGTATACCTTCCAGATGCAAAGCCAGATGCTATTTGGGTTGATATATTATTGAAATTGGCCTTTCTTGTCGCTTCAAGTATAGCTGAAACATTGATAAAAAAAATGATATTTGAAAGGTTAAGAGAACCTTAATTCTGCTCATACTCATAATTAACTTCAACTCAACATTACTTCAGAGATTAAAGGGCCCAATTATTTATTAGAAATCTAAAAATGTAAACATTGAATAATAGGGTCCTCTGAAGAAATGGATTACAAACCAAATCCAGGTCCACTGCTTGAAAGATATGGTAACCGGTACACATCAGCCTTTTCCAGCTTCAAGACGTAACTGTTGAAAGAAGACATGCTTTTTGTAAGAGCTACGGCAAATCTCATTAGACATGAAGACATGCTTTTTGTAAGAGCTATGCCAAATCTCATTAGATATGAAGACATGCTTTTTGTAAGAGCTATGCCAAATCTCATTAGATATGTCAATGATGCTTTTTTTCTTTTTTCCTTCTTTAAGTTTTATTTACTTCCAATATTGTTAGAAACTCGGTTGTTTGATAAATTTAGTTTAGTCTGTTACATGCCTTTTGCATTACCAATGCTTTGGTTATAGCACCATGGAAAATATGCATATGTTGAAACCTAAGGTTTGACATCTTTATCCACTTAACACAATGCCTAATACCAAATACTAGCATCCTCAGGGCCTAAAAAAAGTACAAGCATCCTCAGTTTAGATGTAGCTGAGTGCTGCTTTCAGTTTATTTACATACTAATAGCAGCATTTGCTATTGGGAAGGAAAGGAAAAATTAGCAGCTAGGTTGTTAATATGCTTTCCATGGCCAACAAGACAGATATATCTTATGTGATTCCACAGAACTGGATAAAAGAACTAGATACGTACGCGCTACCTGCTTCAATAAAGCGCTCTGCCATAACAGCATTCTGGCATGTAAATTCACCAAAAAGAGGAATTCTGAAAAGAATCAAAAGAAAATTGGAATGAAAATTTAGAAATAGATAGTACAAAGAAAATTAGAAACTAACTGTTAAATGTCTGATCAGCTCAAAAAGAGAAAACGTGTAAAGCCTCAATCCTCCTTCATCATGATGCAATAAATAATTGAACTTTTAATCATCCATGTTTTCTACTTGGATGTGCCCTAGCGTTTGGTTAAGCATGCCTTTCTCTTGAAATATTTCAATAAATATGTCGTCTAATTAACTTGAATTCGAGGATAACGTAAAAACTGTAACTAGTATTTTTACCTTCATGGCAGAAACAGTTCTTCATTAGAAAAAACATGTCAAGAGGTAAACCTGGCTTTTAATATCATGTAATTTTTTTCAAGTAAGAACATCAAACCTTAGTTGCTTAAACAGTCCAGGAACAGGAGATGAAACTGTGAGTGGACTATTTAGAATTGCGAGCTTTGATATTCTGCTTCGGTTTTTTAAGGCCCATGTCAATCCATATGAACCTACAAGAAATCCCTTCAAGGGGAGAATTAAAGCATGTAAGATGCATAGTTTAATTACAAGAGAACCTATAACATAGATTTAACAATAGCTTGACTAGACTTTACTGAAATCTTTTGAACCAGAATATCTTTCATGACAAACACCAGTCCAATAGCTTGTCTTCTACAAGTGTTCAAACCTGAACGACCAGATAGAAAGGAGATTTGACCCCCAGCACATCTAGTAATTTGTCAAATTCTTCATGGAACTCCTCTTCTGTAGCGGAAACCAATATTTTTTTTATATACAAAAAGAGCATTATAGGAGGCTCCCCTCGAAATAAAAATTCTGATATGAAAAGTCTTCTACTAAAAGAATATACCTTTGTAATCAAATCCATATCCAGGCTGTGGCTTGTCACTGAAACCAAATCCTAGCCAATCAGGTGCAAAGCAGTGGAACCCAAGTTCTGACATCTATTCAAGATAAAGGTAATGATTAAGAAGTTTATGTTGGCGTGATCAGGTAACTGCGGTTATGCATTTCATACTTCTGATATACGAGATACTACTGGTTGGATAATTGATTCTGGCGCCACTGATCATATGACCTTTGATCCGAATGATTTTTTGCACACCACTACACCCCGCCGCACAAGAATTGCCAATGCAAATGGAGTTACCTATCCTGTAACAGGGGCCGGCACTGTCGCCCTTTCACCTTCTCTGTCCCTTTCTAATACTCTCCTCGTTCCATCTTTGTCCAATAAATTACTGTCTGTGAGCCAGGCAACTGAACAACTCAATTGTTGTGCACTAATTTATCCAAATTTTTGTTTGCTACAGGATATTCTCACCAAGGAGATCATTGGGCGTGGTACTAAAAGAGGGGGGTTGTACTATGTGGAGGACTTCAGTATGGGATGTGCCAATAGTGTAAAGCATCCGTCTGATGACAAGCACAGACAGATTTGGCTCTGGCACCGACGTTTGGGGCATCCATCTTTTGGTTATATGAGACACTTATTGCCCGAGTTGTTTTCTGTATTTAAAGACTCAGATTTTAAATGTGACACTTGCATTTTAGCCAAGAGTCACAGAGCATCCTATCCTTTAAGTATGAATAAAAGTAATATTCCTTTTGCTTTAATTCATTCTGATGTTTGGGGACCCTCACCTATTTCTACTCATTCTGGTATTCGTTGGTTTGTCACATTCGTAGATGATTGTACACGGATGACATGGCTTTATTTGATGAAAAATAAGAATGAAGTGTTTTCCCTGTTTCAATCCTTTCACAAACAGATGGAAACACAGTTCAATGCTCGAATACAGATTCTTCGCTCTGACAACGGTGGAGAATTTGTCAATCATGATTTTCAGACTTACTTCCAGACACATGGCATTATTCATGAGACAACTTGTCCCCAGACACCACAACAAAATGGTGTTGCCGAACGAAAGAATCGTCATCTCCTTGAAACCGCCCGTGCTCTTCTCATTGGTGGCCATGTTCCTCGTCATCACTGGGATGATGCTGTCATCACTGCTGTCCACCTTATCAACCGCATGCCATCTGGGGTCTTGAACTTCAAAACTCCATTACAAGTGCTGGCGCAACATGGGCCTCTACCATCTGTTTTGGTGCTTACCCCTCGCATTTTTGGCTGTGTGGCCTTCGTTCATCTCCACAAAAATCAACGAAGCAAACTTGATCCTTGTGCGCTTCGTTGTGTTTTTCTGGGTTATGCCACTCATCAAAAAGGCTACCGATGTTATCACCCTCATACCCGGCGAACCTATGTCACTTTGGATGTCACTTTTCTAGAATCGGAGATGTTTTTCTATGACCCAGCATCCAATTCTACTCTTCAGGGGGAGATACCGAGTGAAGAGCTCAATTGGAGCAGCTTGGAAAACGAAGATATTAACGAAGATATTCATCTATGCACAAAGATTGCTCTCGGCCAAGAAACAATAACAATCGATCGTCCCGAGTCTGGCACGTGCGAATGCCCTCTGCCAAACAACGATCAATCGCCTACCCCTTGCAAAGCTGTTTTTGATTCGAGTCATACTCCTACAGACAACTCAGAACAACAAGATGAAGACCCCCCCTCTCACTCAACAGTACCAACGGACCAATCTCCTGAGAATATCTTTGAGGTAAATACTCCTACTAGACTTGTGCCTTTAGAGGATAAAACTATTAGATATCAATTACCTTTCAGGCAAAATCGTGGGAAGCCACCAAACCGTTATTCACCTGATATTGACAAGGCATCCAAATATCCAATTGCAAATCATGTATCCACTGAGAAGCTGCCTGAACCACTCAAGGCTTTTGTGCATCAGTTGTCTGCTATCCAGATTCCAACCAAGGTCTCTGAAGCATTGAAAGATCCTAAGTGGGTCCAAGCTATAAAAGAGGAGATGAGAGCTCTTGAGAAAAATCAGACTTGGACATTACAGACTATACCACGAGGAAAAAAGACTATCGGATGTAGGTGGGTGTTTACTATAAAACACAATGCAGATGGATCTATCGAGCGATACAAGGCAAGACTTGTGGCAAAAGGGTACACACAGACCTATGGTATAGACTATGAAGAAACCTTTGCACCAGTTGCAAAGTTAAATACCGTCAGAGTCTTATTGTCCCTTGCAGCTAATTTGGATTGGCCACTACACCAGTTTGATGTAAAGAATGCTTTTCTACATGGCGAACTCGCGGAGGAGGTGTACATGGACATTCCTCCTGGATATAATACTACTCAGACTGGAACAGTTTGCAGGTTACGAAAAGCATTGTATGGATTGAAACAGTCACCACGTGCATGGTTTGGACGGTTCACCATGGCAATGAAGAATAATGGTTTCAAACAGTGCAACTCAGATCATACTCTGTTCTTGAAACATCGGAAAGGGAAGGTAACAACATTAATAATCTATGTTGATGATATGATTATTACTGGGAATGATAAACAGGAAATATCACAGCTACAAGACTATTTGGCTACTGAGTTTGAGATGAAGGATCTAGGTGGACTCAAGTATTTCTTGGGAATTGAGGTTGCTCGATCGCAGCAAGGCATATTTCTATCTCAAAGGAAATATGTCTTGGACTTGTTGACAGACACAGGAATGCTAGATTGCAAACCTGCGGACACTCCTATTATTCAAATCATCATCTTGGAGAATATCCTGATCAAGTTCCAACTAACAAAGAAAGATACCAAAGGTTAGTGGGAAGATTGATCTATTTGTCACATACTCGACCAGACATTGCTTATGCGGTGAGCGTTGTCAGTCAATTTATGCACTCTCCAAGTGAAGACCACATGAATGCAGTTCTTCGGATACTTAGATATTTGAAGTCTGCACCTGGAAAAGGACTTATGTTCTCAAAGCATGGTCATCTAAATATTGATGGTTATTCAGATGCAGATTGGGCAGGTAATGTAACAGATAGAAAATCCACATCGGGTTACTTCACATTCGTGGGAGGTAATTTGGTGACATGGAGAAGCAAGAAACAGAATGTAGTAGCTTTATCCAGTGCAGAAGCCGAGTTCAGAGGTATGACTAAAGGGATTTGTGAACTTCTTTGGTTAAGAAAGTTGCTTACTGAACTTGGGTATAAACCTACATCCACAATGAATCTCTTTTGTGACAACAAGGCTGCTATAGCCATTGCACAGAATCCAGTTCAGCATGATCGTACTAAACATGTTGAGGTGGATCGACACTTCATCAAACAGAAGCTTGAGGCTAAAGTGTTTCAATTTCCTTTTGTGAAATCCGAGGATCAATTGGCGGATATTTTGACAAAGGCGATTTCCAGTAAAGCATTCCACAATTCACTGGATCAGTTGGGCATTGGCGACATCTATGCACCAACGTGAGGGGGAGTGTTGGCGTGATTTGTGGATATTGACTTACTTTCCTTACACACCAAGGATTCCTATTATAATTGTAATTGATTTACTTTAATTCCTGATTTCCTACTGTAAATAGATTTAGGAATCTATTATTTACTTGCCCATTCAGGTTTTATTGTATTATAAATATGACCTCCTACAAGGAGAAGAATACACAGAAAATTCCCACAAACAAATATTCTATCATAGTTCTCATATTTTAGCAGTTTAGCAGCAATTATTTGACAGCTAAGGCAGACTAAGTCACAATAAAGACTCAAATTACATGAACATGAATTTTTTTTTAATGATATTCAAGAAAAGAGTAGTCTAAAAAAATTCATAGACTAGAGATTCAAGAGAATGTCTGAGCATGTAGGTGTGGTCAAAAGATTGTAACATGGATTATCTACTCTACAGTTTCTTAAGCTTTCTGCCCTAAGTATTTACAATAAGCCAAAATCAGCAAAATAAATAGAAGTAGTCTATAACATCGAAAACGAAATTCAGCTAGACCTGAGACATAACGTTTCTGTAGCTATAAGATTGTGTGGGAGCACCATGAAGAAAGATAACTGTTCCACCTTGGCTCTCAGCTGATCCTGCAAAGTAAAACCGCTCTTATAAAAAAGAACACAAAGAGGAACTAGTATAATGTGGCAACGTAATTTTTTTTTACCAGTTTCTCTCACAAACCATACATGCTCCCCCGATCTGACGTATTTTCCATATTCCTTCCCCTTGTCTTCTATCCTCTAGAGTCAAAAGCAAGAAATTAAATATTTACAAATATCATGTCACATGAAAAATTTAGAGCACATTTCTGAATGACTACAAATTCAAGAACTCCACAGCCATGATGGTATTGCATACTATTTTCTGGTGAAAGACTTTTTCCTTCATAGTATGCTATAACTTCTATCTTGTGCATCAATGGCATTCCAAAGTCCAAAATCCAAATTCCATCTTTCAACTTTCATTAAAGCTACGAGTAATTCCAAAGCAAACATTGACTCAACTGCACTCAACATTCACAACCTTGTGTGGTTCCCTTGTTAAAGTTCACAAGATTCTAGTAACTCTATGCAAAAGCACTTGTATCAATGGCTTATATGATATATCTATACAATTCTCAGAATTGCTTTAACAATGACACTATTTTAAATTTAATTGAAATCTGTTGACAAATAGACAATATCATAAGATTGAATACATCAATAAAGAGAATTCGTCAGCAATTCTTCATAAAAACAGTTAACTCAAACTAGAGCTTACATAAAGCATTTGGCCGACATTGCCAGACTCTGCAGGGCTCTCAATGATCTGAATGGCGCTGCGGCTTGACGGGTTATCAGTGACAAAGCCAAAGGGATTGAAAGCTGACGAGTCTTTGTCTTTGTCTTTGTCCTCGGTTTTTTCCTGGTCGGCAGCACTGGCTATGACTCTTGCTCTTCTTCTACTGCCACTACAACTTGCAAGCCAGCCTATTTGGGATTTGGGTTTGAAAGGATTGAGTATGGAGGACAGAGGGGAATAAGAGGGAGGGAGGTTGAGAGGCAGAGAGAGAAGAGCCCAAGCCATTTTTTCTGGTTGTGGCTGTTGGAGCTTGGAAGTTGAGAACCAACGGTTTGAAAATGAGTAGATACAGGTACCACTGTAGTCTGTTGCCAAAGTTTAGCTTGCTCAAGTTCATTATTTCCCAACCACGCGTTTATAATTTGCACTACTTTTTGACCCAAACTAAAATCACACAAAGGAATTTTCTTTCTGCCAACTAGTGTGAATTTACCATATTATCATAATTTAATTAATAATTTCAATTCTTAATTTTTGCATTAACCAATGACATTTTTTGGTATTTTGAATGTTTCACCATTCTCTGCCTTTCGCTTTATATATATAGATTCTTTATGTATGTCTTGTGCATGTGTTTAAGTGCCCTTCATCAAAATATGTTACCTCTAAGAAAAGTTAATGACAAAAAAGAAAAAGAAAAAAAATAATGAATTATTTTAAAACAATTTAATAAAGCTGTGAACTCCCATTTTGAATTCACAGGATTGAAAAAAAAATCGTTTGAGTCGGGCAATACATAAATAGTTGTATTTTGAAGGAGGAAATTTGGGTTTAACACAATTTGAGTCGGAGATGGTCCAAGTTTTATGAAGAACAAAAAATGTTACTTCAAGTGATTGAGAGCACTCATTTTATACTTGCATTGCGTTTGATTTTTCTTTCCGCAATGTTGCTTTGTATGAAAATTGTTTCAAATCAAATTAATGGTTCTAGCCTCTAGCATCATTCAACCAATACAAATACGACATACTATTCGTTCATCAAATCATGTCTCAGTACATATGTCGTGGGTTCAGATTCCCTTCTTGTATCAATTTTTTTATTTACATTTTTCATTGTATTAGAAAAATCCAAAATACTGAATAAAACACAAAACCTTGAATATATAAGGGAGACTTTGGAAAAACACAAAGGAGAGAGAAAATGCCCTTATTTATTAATTTGCAATTACGAGAAAAATGAAGGACTTAAATCCAAAAGAAAAAAGAAAAAAGCAAAAAACCGGTCCCAGCAGTTGAGGGTAAAACTAAGGTCACACAACTTTGACAGAAGGCGTGCTCAAAGCTCAAACCATGACCGGCGAAAACACCTTTTCTCCGAGCGACCAGGCCTTCTCAGCAAACTCTAACCTCCATATCACTGTAAGCTCGCGTTACCTTCTTCATCCACTCTACTTGTAATTGTTCTTACAATTTATCTTACATTGTTCACTTTCTGTTTGATTCCTGAGAAAATTAGGGTTAAGAAAAGGAATTTTCAATGGAAAGGTAGATAAAAACCATTTGGGATTCAAAATTTAAAAATTATGGAGTAGGTTTGGAAATTCAGATACTGGGAAGTACTTGGCTTGCTTGAATAAAGCTGTGACAGAATAAAAAATCGGAAATTTACAGTTGGCAACCAAATGGAAGAATTCAGTTTCTTTTTGAATCACTCTAAAATTTAAAAAAGATCGAAACTTTAAATGAAAGTAGCAGAGAATTATGCAACGGAGCTTTAGATACAACAGATAAGCATCCGAATTTTGCATCTGGTCAGTGCGTTGAGAGGATTGACAGGGAGGGTACTGACGAACTGAGCCACATTTATTGAAGATAGATAAACATCATATAGTGAATAATAGGATTGAGATTTTTCTGTCACTCCGCAATAACAAAGAGCCTACTTTTTTCATAGCAAAGGAACAGCCAGAAAACAATATTTAAGGGAGTTTTCGATACATCATAAACGCATCAGAGTTTTGCATATGTTCTGTACGTACATGTAGAGAGAGGGGCAACTGAGCTACACGTATTAGAAGAAAGATAAGAATCATAAACTGAACAAGATGAGACTTTTCTGTCACTTTGCAACAACAAAATGGCCGTCATATGCATGCTTGGTTTGCAAGCTATTTACTTGATAAGTGACAACAGTTCTATTAGAAAGAAATTAGAAAACAAGATGGACTAGAAGTCCATCAGGAGCAATGCATCTAAAAAGAAAACCAAGCAATGACTTGGTTGGCATGCTATTGTTCCATATTTTTTTTCTTATCTTTCATAAATTCTGCTTGTCTTTGGATTATCTTAAGAATTAATGACTTGTTTACTATTGCAGATACAAGAAGGTTCTCAAAACAGCGAGCAACTCCTGGAGAATGAAAACAATGACCTTGAAAATGACTGCGAGCAATTGTTTGAGATTGAGGGCAATGAGCCTGAAAGTGAAAGAGATGATGCAAGTGATCAATTATTTGACATTCAAAGTAATGACCATGAAAATGACGGAGGTGATATAAATGAGCATCTGTTTGAAATTGAAGGCAATGACCATGAAAGTAGCAGGGATGATAGAACAATAATTGATTATCAAAATGGTGGATCTCAAGAAAAGGCCTATCCCCCACCAGTTGTGGGTTTAGAGTTTGATTCATATGATGATGCTTACAATTATTATAATTGCTATGCTAAGGAACTTGGATTTGCTATCAGGGTGAAATCCTCGTGGACAAAGCGTAACAGCAAGGAGAAGCGTGGTGCAGTGCTCTGTTGCAATTGTGAGGGTTTTAAAACAATTAAAGAAGCAAACAGCCGCAAGAAAGAAACAAGAACAGGCTGTCTAGCAATGATAAGGTTGAGATTAGTAGAATCAAACAGATGGAGAGTGGATGAAGTCAAGCTTGAACACAACCATTTATTCGATCCTGAAAGAGCTCAGAACTCCAAGTCGCACAAGAGGATGGACTCAGGAGCTAAAAGAAAGATGGAGCCAACTGTTGATGTTGAAGTACGCACAATCAAGTTATATCGGACACCTGTCGTAGATGCAGTTGGTTATGGAAGCTCAAACTCAAACGAGGGAGAAATTAACAACCTTGTTGATCGGTCCAAGCGATTGAAACTCAAAAATGGAGATGCAAGAGCAATTTATAAGTATTTTTGCCGGGTTCAGCTAACCGATCCTAATTTTTTCTATGTGATCGATCTCAATGATGAAGGGTATTTGAGGAATGTGTTTTGGATTGATTCCAGGTCTAGGGCAGCGTACAATTACTTTGGTGACGTGGTTTCATTTGAGACTACATGCTTGTCAAACAATTATGAGATTCCACTTGTTGCATTTGTTGGAGTAAATCACCATGGACAAACTATCTTGCTTGGTTGTGGTTTGCTAGCCGATGAGACACTAGAAACTTATATATGGTTATTTAGGGCGTGGCTTACGTGTATGTCTGGTCGTCCTCCACAAACTATCATCACAAACCAGTGCAAGGCCATGCAAAGTGCTCTAGCAGAGGTATTTCCTAGGGCTCATCATCGTCTTTCTTCTTCACATGTCATGCAAAGTATTCTTGAGAACATGGGAGCAATACAAGAATATGAGGCATTTCAAATGATTTTGAGTAGGACTGTATATGACTCAATAAAAGTAGATGAGTTTGAATTGGCTTGGGAGCATATGATTCAGAGATTTGGAATAAGGGATCATGAGTTTATTCAAACTTTGTATGATGATCGAGAGCGATGGGTTCCAGTTTACTCAAAAGACACAGTTTTTGCTGTAATGCCCAATTTTCAGAAAGCTGAGTCCACAAACCCATTTTTCGATGGTTATGTGCATCAACAAACTTCGTTGGAAGAGTTTCTTGATGTTTATGATGTAGTTTTAGAAAAGAAGCGTCAGGAAGAAGCTCATAATGATTTTGAGTCGAGAGAATTGACTCCAATGTTAAGAACAAGATGCTATTACGAGTTGCAACTCTCTAAGTTTTACACAAAAGATGTATTCCTAAAGTTTCAAGATGAGGTTGTGATGATGACTTCTTGCTTTAGCATAACTCAAGTTCACACAAATGGACCACTTGTGACATACATGATCAAAGAACGTGAAGGGGAGGAAATTATGAGGGATAATAATAGGAACTTTGAAGTTATGTATGACAAAGCAGGAGCAGAAGTTCGTTGTATGTGCAGTTGCTTTAATTTAAACGGCTACCTATGCCGACACGCCTTATGCATCCTGAACTATAATGGTGTGGAAGAAATACCGTTTCAGTATATCTTGTCGAGATGGAGAAAAGACTTTAAGCGGTTGTATGTACCAGATCTTGGGAGCAATAATGTTGATATCACAAACCCAGTTCAGTGGTTTGATCATTTGTATAGAAGAGCGATGCAAGTTGTTCAGGAAGGGATGATTTCTCAGGATCACTATATGGTATCTTGGCAGGCATTTAAAGAGTCTTTGAATAAGGTCCGTCTAGTAGCAGATAAGCATGTATAGTTTATAACAATGTGTATCGGAAGCCTTCCATCGTTCTTGCTGGAGAGATGATGTGCTGGTATTAATCAATACCTAGGAAAAACAAGAGAGATCTTGGCAGGCGATCTACTATATGAATAGAAGGGTAGAACCAAGGAAGACAGCTGAATACCGGGAATTCAGAGAGAAGGATCTGCAGAGGTACTTATGTGGATTATAAACTCAAATAAGATTCAAGCTAGTTGTTAACGATCTAGTAGTAATTGGGGGTCATCATCTCCTAGGAGCCTATACAGAACTAAACTGGGGACCCACCAAAATTTAGTGTATAAATTTTTAGGATCAATAATTGAACCATCCGACCAGGCAAACTAAACACTTTTCTTGGAAAATGAAAGAGATTACTTGTTTCTGGAAATAATGTTGAAGGCAGAATCTCTCTTTTTTTTCTTTTCTTTTTTTTCTTTTTTTTCACGCACTCACAAAGCTTTCCCTCCTCTCTTTCTCATTGGGAGGAAGAAGATAAGGGTCGGAAGCCCTCAGTTATAACTCTATCAAAAACCCAATTTGACAAGAAAAAAAAGACGTCAGGGCTTGTCTCTTTTTTCCTTTTGTTTTTCTTTACCTCTATATACATTAGGCCTTATATTGCTTCTGCTTTTGTTAGGCCCTTATTGTTAGTTTCTTCTTTAACTATTTGTAAGTGTACCTTTGAACCTTGCTTGTGTTGCTGTCTGTGTTTTTTGCTTGTTGGCATTTTCTGCAAATCAAGCCTTGCGTTTATGTTTTGGCATGGCATGGGGTTTTTGTTTTGTGTTTTGTGGTTAAATTCATTGTCAGGGATTGTTTTTGTTGGTTTATAAGTGTACTTAAATTTGAATATGTGGGACTGACAGAGTGTATAAATTTACGTAGTGTTATGAAGTGTCCGATTCTATTTGAGTATTTGTTCGTCATTTGTGATTGCATGGGGCTGTCTTGAGTCAAGAAAATAGCAAATTCTCCTTGATTATTCTTGGATCACTATTAATCTCCATCTTGATGGTAATTATCATGACCGATAATCTAAGTGATATGTCTTGTATTGGAACTCTTTAGTTTACTTTTTATCATAGACAAGAATCATGACCAAATTGTTGAACATAAGAACAACTTATATTGTCCTTGGATTATCTCTTCATTTTGTTCAATTGACACTTGAGTATTAATTGAAATTTTCAATTACGCATTGGCATTGCTAATGCTGTAGAAACTGCAGGTGTTTCTGGCACGTGCAAGAAGATGAAAGTTGTCGTTGAACAGTATAGAAGGTTAAGATCTACCACCAGGTGCAGAATGTTTGTAGGTTAGACACATATGTTTCTTTCTTTATAGTTTACATTGGAAGGGATCAAACCCTTGCTTACCATATCGGGCTTGGCAGAATCAGCGGGGAAAGAAGACCCTGTTGAGCTCGACTTTAGTCCAGCTTTATGAAATGACTTAAGAGGTGTAGTATAAGTAGGACCTTTGGAATCCTAACCCATTTCCATACCCTCCCTCTCCACTTGGGCTAACCCCAAGGGGTTCTAGACATTTGTTTCTTCAAGCTAGTTGAGCTGATATTGTACTCTCTTAGCTTCTTCCATTGTAATGTAAAAGATTGTATAGTCATTTAGTGATTTAGCATCCTTGGCTCTTGGACGTGCATGGTTTTGTTCCCTTGAAGATAGCTTTACTCCTTTAACTTAATAGTTTGAGTGTCATTGTTAACTTTGAAGGCTGTTTAACTCCACTTTTTGTCAGTGAGTGTGATTGGGATTGGACAATTTCAAATGCCTGTATTCTTTTGGGGTCACAGGTACATATACATGGTAGATGGAAACACGGACGTTATATTTTTGAAAAAGTTTACATGCTGTGCAATAATGCTAGGGCACCAACTTTGTTACCAACTTATATGGCACGTGACATAATACATATCATTTGAAAGGTCATATTTTTCAGTTTTATCATCAATTTTAATTTGCCCAATGTTGGTACACGTTGGTAAGTTGGTAACTAGAATGGATATTGCCAATGTAGCATGCATTAGCACCAATATAGTGTGCTTTCACGAAATAGGTAGTGCCAATGTTGTAGTAAATAGGCCGATAAAAACGAAAATAACCCCTACAGAAACATCTAAAGTAACAATCCCAGTAAATGGCCGAAGTGGTTGGAATTTTAGACGAGCACTTAATTAATCCTACATGCCTCATCCAGCACTGTGATTCGTGCCCAATGAAACGTGCGTTTCATTAATTTTACTTGATCACCAAAGGCATGATTTTGAGGGGGAAGCCCAGAGAAGGAGAGAGGAGAGAGATCAGGAGGAGGGAGAGACCACCATTGTATTTTCACCGCAAGTTTTTTGGTATCCTTTTTTCTTGTTGGGGTCAATTACATTTTGCACCCCTAGTTGTTTGGGTCATCTAATAGAGTTTGGTTTCTGTCTTTTAAAAATTGGTGACGTGAACCCTTAAAAATTACAAATTGTTACACCATTGGTCCTTCCGTTCACCCAACTATCGAGTAAACCACTATTTATTTGCATGGCACTCGGTTGGCCTTTTTTGTTTGCTTACTTAAGCACTAGGTTGATGCCACGTGGATTAACATGTGTCAGAGGAGCAACAAATAAGAACTTCTTTTTTAAAGACAATCTTAACGAAAAATAGACCAATTGAGTGCTACATAAAAAAAATTGATGTTAACTTGATGGAAGGGCCAATAGTGTATTAATTCGTAATTTATAAAGTTGTAAAGTATAGACTTTTAAAATACGTGGACCAAACTATTTGTGTATATTTTCAAGGAATTAGCTTTCCATTCTTTACGGCTTATTTTGGAAAAGTTGCTCATTTCTATTTTGGAATTCAACATTTTAATTATACTTTGACGGTCAAATCCATTCTTTATGGCTTATTCTGCCTTTTTCCAATCGGATGATGGTGGTGGTTGTTTGGTTTTTTTAAAACTTATTTTTAATAACTAAAATAGTTTTTTATGATACAATTATAATTTTTAAATCAGTTTTTTTTTTCTTAACCTTTAGATTAGATCTAAGGGTGATTGACCACAGTTTCCTTTGACTACAAGGATTAGGAGAACGGGATTGAGAAATATGGTATAACGACTAGAAAAAAATTGTTTATTAAATGATTGGACATTAATTAACAATACATTTAAAATAAAATAAAATAAAAACAAAAGTCATTTTTGGTCCCTACAGTTTGGCACTTCAATAACTTTTGACCATGTAGTTTCAATTCTGTCAATTTTGCCATTGTAATTTCGTATTTGTAGCAATTCAAGAACATGTTAGTATTCTTGTCAATTTCTTTAACGATGCAATGGACAATTTTGTCAACCCAAAACCCTTGAGAGTAAAAGCTGGTCTGAAATTCTCCCATTTTATATTAGGGCTCAAAATTTAACCACTAATTCCAATTTTTGAAGAACCATGAACCCAAATGACCAATTTCAAGCCCTAATATGAAATTAGAGGAGTTTCAGACGAGCTTTTATGCTCAAGGATTTTGGGTTGACGAAATTGCCCCTTGCACCGTCAAAGAAATTGACAAGAATACTAACTTGTCCTTGAATTACTACAAATACGAAACTACAAGGTCAAAATTAACAGAATTGAAACTATAGGGTCAAAAGTGGTTGAAGTGCCAAACTACAGGGATGACTTTTAGCATTAAAAAAATTTAAAAGAAGGAAAGAGAATGAAAGCTTAAAATTCTTTTAAGTTTCAACTCTGATGTCAACGTCATTTGGTCTAGCAGTATTCCTTCTTCACTTTGTTGAAGGAAGTTCTGAATTTAAATATGTTTGTACCATAATCAACCGAGCACATTCGGTACTAGGAGACTGGTGCATAGACAGACCCACTACCTGCCAAAGGAAAAACACTTCTAGGGCAATCCCCAAAACACTGATGACGTCATCATGAACCCAGCCTGCCGAAAGGATACCTTCCTCCGATGAGGCAATTGCCTGTCGAAGGCTGTTGTTGGGCTTTCAACTACAGAACCTAAGCCTTAGACATGTGTCACCACCACAGTGATTTGCACAAAGTCCCACATCGAAACTTTGTGCAAACTCCCACTTTCATTTCTCTATAAAATAAGAATAATGCCCAAGTAAAAAGGTAACTACTTTTTACCTTTATTGTTACTCTGTCAAAATTATTGTGTACCCCACACTCGTTGACTTAAGCATCGGAGAGCATTCGACAGATATCACACCGGTACTCGAAACTTGACGGTTTCTGCTTCCATCCTTCTTCTGAAGGATCACTTTGTGGCCGAAGATCCCTTTTGTTGAAGGTCCACAACCCCCAAATCTTGCTGAAGAGTCCACACTTCTTCTATCTAAGTTGAATTCAATTTTGGACATCAACAATTTGGCGCTGTCTGTGGGAATCGACTTTCAAATCTCACATCTCTACTAGCCTCACTGGCTCATTCGCCTATCAGACCTCTTCGCCTCTTCAGTCCATTATACTCCGTCATGCCAAGTGACGCTAGCCTTGACACTCAGCATCAAATCCCTTATGTGGAATGTTGCGTCTACCCAAGTGCAAGTAGTCATACGCAGTAATAATCTTGGAAGTCCAAGTATCGTATCCTCAAGGAGTAAGTAGGCAAATATCTGCACACAAAGAAATAATTATACATACCACGATAAAAGTGACAAGCAAAATGGAAAAGTAATTTGATTTGATTGTTGTGGAAATTGAGTTTAAAAATGAAATATCAATAATGGAAATGCTAAGGCATCAAGGTTCAATTCTTTAAACAAAATATGTTTCATGCTCTTTAATCCAAATTATAACTCAATTAAAATCATCATTGAGAAACTTTAACCAGAAGATAAAGAAATTAAAACCAATTTAATTTTTCAATGTTATCTTTTATTAATGATTGTTCAGAAAATGGAATTGTTTAACATCTACTCTTTTAATTTAAAAGCATGCTAAGTCAGTTCTTAACAATGAGAAAAATATAATTGAACTCATGAAAAGATAATAGCACTTAACATCAATCAAAATAAAAGGATATGAAAATATTGAACAACCAAAAATAAAAGAATTTAGCAATTCATACCGTATATTGGATTAAAGAACAATTCACAAACTTATTCAAAGAACATTTCCTTTAGCCTTAGCTAGAGTTTTAGCAACTCATTACAAAGGAAAACATAAACTAAATTTTGAATGAAATTGATAAATAAATCTGTCGTAGTGGTGCCCTTGCCAAATAAGTTGATGGGTGATTTATAGTAGTCAATGAGGTGAGTGGGAAATTAATACATTCTTGGTGGGTAATAAAGGGTTTAAGTGAGGGATTAATTAGATTAAACATGTGTTGATGGTGGAGTGTTAGTGGAAAAGAAATAACGGGGAGGTAAGTGAGCGTTAAATGGCTATGAATGACATGAAATAGGCTCTTTATCTTCAACGGTTTTGTCTTCTCTTCTCCCTCTTTATTTCTCTTTATAATCACAATAATCCCACAATCAATTCTTCAATAAAATCTGCCAGCAATTCTCTTCACACCTAGCTTGAACTTGGACAAATATATGTCTTCATCTTTTGGCTTTCCAACTTCCTACAGATGATAAATTCACCAAATATGTTCACCAAATTAATATATAAATTTCATAAATCCAGTTGGTGATAATAAAATGTAACAACAAGTGAAATTATATTTATTAAGCCAAAATTATATCATAAAGTATCCAAAATAATATTAAAAAGATGTAATTTAAGACTCTCATCATGGAATCCTTCTGTAGGAAACTTTCAATCGATGCGCATCTTCAGGTCGAAGTGGGGTGACTTCGTGCCAATGTTGCCAAAATGACGGAGAACTACGACCACCTCCTCACCAAAAATGTCTAGTTGGAGCATGATTGCCAAATTTGAAGCGTAACTGGGAGAACATTTACCACCTGTTAGCCTAGCACTTCAACAACTATCATTTTGGAGGGACTAAACCAGACACATTAACAACTACTAGCTCACATCACTACAATTGAGTATAATCTAAAATAAAGCTGACAAAACCCAAAATAACAAAACCATAAAACAACACATGGCCTAAATGAACACTACCGCCACCAAAAGCGTCGCCCTCAAACCCACCATTGCATCTAACCTTTAAGAAACTGCAGAACCTTTGACGAATCTAGGGAAAACAAGGTTTCTAGTTATCCAACAACTATGTCATTCGAACAATCATGGCAACAACCAATCGAGTAGATGAGTTTTTTGTTCATGTTTTTCATCTCTTATATTAAACTCTTCTTTTAAAAAAATAGTTTTAATAACCAAAATAGTATTTTACTGCAGTAAAAGTAAAATAAGATATGACATATTGATATTTAAACCTTTTTTTTCCCTCAGTTCTTAGTGCCAGTTTGACATTGCTTATTTGGGATGATAAGTGATTTTTTTAAAATTTTGAGAAGCCCAACTAGTTTGGTAAACTGTGAGAAAATCACTTATTGTTAAAAATTGCTGTGAGAGAAAGCTATAAGGGAAAGCAGCTAATGATGTGCTTTCATTTTCTGATTATGCAAGAATCAATTTCAAAGAGGCGCTAGGTTTAATGATTATGCGGCAATCATTTTCTGATTATGCGTAAAATCAATACCAACAACACTTTTAACAAAAATTTTACCAAACGCCAAATTGCTTTATCACATAGCTTATTTCTCTCACAGCAAATCTGACATCGATTATTTTCACAGCACAGCAATACCAAACTGGCCCAAGAGAACGAGACTGAATTCTTGAAACTAGAAGCATTAATTTTATTATATTAACACACCCGCCCACCCAATCTCTAGTACGTTCCCCCTTAGGGCACTTTCACCCATTTGCCATGGGAATTAAGGTAAATAAGGGCGGTTGTTGTTCACTTGAATAGTATATGCCTTAACAATTTTGTGTTTGTGTTTTTTTACCCATTTCCATGACAACTCCAATTACTATTCACATGAGATTAATTTTATTTATATGTATAAGATTAATAAATAAAAATTTACTAAGTATAATATTAATAAATAAAAATTTACTAAGTATGCCCAAATTTGTTTTTGAATTTTTTGGTAATTTTTCAAAAATAATTTCGCAGACTTCAGAGCCTATCTTGCCTTGGGCCCTTGCCCGGGCTGGATGTCACAGCCGGAGCTGACTTTGGGAGACCGAGGGCCTTTCGCCTGGGCTGGGCTGTCCGCTGGAACTGCTATTACGCCTGTTCATTTATCACCCATCCCACCTCTTGGAATCTATTCGTCCAAAAAAATGCTCTCCGAACCCAATATCTTCCAAGAGGCCAAGAATCAAATGTGGGCTCATCAGCTATAGCACTCTCCCTCATGTGCCCTCGATTGCTCGTCTGCCGTCGGCGGTGAGGTACTGTTGTGTAGCAGCGACGTCGTCTATCAGGTACTGTTCTCTCCTCTGGAACTGAGTAGTTAAATCCTTCGTTCCAGATCGACACCGTACAGCGATTGGGTACGCTCAATCCAGATCGAAATCCGTAGGGGGTGAGCGAATTAGGCAACTATGTTTCTGATGGTTAAAGTGAGTACTTATTTGTTTGATCTAGCGTTGTTTTTATTAGAAGTTGTGTTTGGAGTCTTGGACAATTGATTGGATGGTATTTAGTGTTAGCCGAATAATATATATTAGATTCTTTGTTTTTTCCTTTTTGTGTAGATTGGTTTCTGAATTTATCACTTGTCTTTCGGATGGAAGTAGCCTCTGCTAACATTGAGCTAGTACCAGATGGTGAGTGCAATGAGATTGTAACTGATAGAGATGGTGTCCTGACAGAATTAGATGTTCAAAATGGTGTCCTTGAAGGAAGAAAGGAATTTGTTGCCCCCGCTGTTGGAATGGAATTTGAGTCTTATGATGATGCTTATAATTATTACAACTGCTATGCTAAGGAAGTGGGATTTCGTGTTAGAGTGAAGAATTCATGGTTTAAGAGGAACAGTAGAGAGAAGTATGGTGCAGTACTTTGTTGCAGCAGCCAGGGTTTCAAAAGAATTAAGGATGTAAACCGTTTAAGAAAAGAAACAAGAACTGGCTGTCCTGCAATGTTAAGGATGAGGTTAGTGGACTCCAAGAGGTGGAGGGTACTTGAAGTTACACTTGAACATAACCATTTGTTAGGTGCTAAGATCTACAAATCAATTAAGAAGGTGGGAAGTGGAATGAAAAGGAAGTCACAGTCAAGTTCAGATGCAGAAAAACGAACAATTAAGTTGTACCGAGCACTTGTGATAGATTCAGGGGGCGATGGGACCTCAAATTCTAATCCAACAGATATCAGGAATTTTCCTGACCATCCCAATCAGTTGAACCTTAAGAAAGGTGACACACAAGCAATCTATAACTATCTTTGCCGAATGCAGTTGACTAATCCGAACTTCTTTTACTTGATGGACCTCAATGATGATGGGCGGTTAAGGAATGTGTTCTGGATGGATGCTCGGTGTAGGGCAGCCTGTGGTTATTTTGCTGATGTGATATACTTTGACAACACATATTTGTCAAATAAATATGAGATCCCACTTGTGGCATTTGTAGGGATAAATCACCATGGGCAGACAGTATTGCTTGGTTGTGCCCTGCTTGCTGGGGAGACGACAGAATCTTATACTTGGTTGTTCAGAGCTTGGCTTACATGTGTATCAGGACATTTTCCACAAACAATTATTACTGACAGGTGCAAGGCCTTACATAGTGCAATTGCAGAGGTATTTCCAAGATGCCATCATCGTTTTGGTTTGTCACACATCATTAAAAAAGTTCCAGAAAAATTAGGAGGATTGCGCAACTATGATGCCATTAGGAAGGCATTGATTAAAGCAGTTTATGAAACTCTGAAGGTGATTGAATTTGAAGCAGCATGGGTATTCATGATTCAGCGTTTTGGGGTTGGTGATCATGAGTGGCTTCGTTCTTTATATGAAGACCGATTTCGGTGGGCTCCAGTTTATTTGAAAGAGACATTTTTTGCTGGAATGTCGGCTGCACGTCCAGGTGAAACCTTAAGTCCATTTTTTGACAGATATGTGCACAAACAAACTCCACTGAAAGAATTTCTTGATAAGTACGAATTGGCTCTGCAAAAGAAGCATAAGGAAGAAGCTCTTGCAGATATTGAGTCACGAAGCTCGAGTCCCATTTTAAAAACAAGATGTTCCTTTGAGTTCCAGCTTTCAAAAGTTTACACCAGAGAAATTTTCAAGAAGTTTCAATTTGAAGTGGAGGAAATGTATTCTTGTTTTAGCACTACACAGTTACACATTGACGGGCCAATCATAATATTCTTGGTCAAGGAGCGTGTTGTGGTTGAGGGAAATAGGCGAGAGATTAGAGATTATGAAGTTCTGTACAACAGAACAGCAGGTGAGGTTCGTTGCATTTGCAGTTGCTTTAACTTCTACGGGTATTTATGTCGACATGCATTGTGTGTGCTTAATTTTAATGGAGTGGAGGAGATCCCTTCCAAGTACATTTTGTCGCGATGGAAAAAGGATTTCAAGCGTATATATATTCCAGATCACAGCTCCAGTAATGCTGATGACACCGACCGCATGCAATGGTTCAATCAGTTATATAGAAGTGCCTTGCAAATTGTAGAGGAAGGTGTGATTTCTCCTGACCATTACAAGGTAGCATTGCAAGCATTTGAAGAGTCATTGAATAGGGTTCATGATGTAGAGGACAAACACGAATGAGTTGTAATGTTAAGGTGCGACATCTTTTGTAATTATGAATTTAGTTTTATATACCTTTTCCTCCTCTCTCTCTCTCTCTCTCTCTCATCCGATGGCGGAAAGGATAGCTTCAACCAACCTGTTATCTGTGAAGAATGCCAATACCATATATAAGTAGGGAGCATGAGAAGGTCAGCTTGTATGTATTTTTCCTCATCTTTATCTGTGATTGTCCAAGCAATTTTGCACGACAGATATGAACCAGTCTTTGTTTTTACTTTTGGCTGGCCAAGATCTCCAGCTGCCTGCTGTGCCTGTTTACCATCAAATCAGACTCTTTATATTTTGGGGAGAGAAATTGGATTTTATTAGAGGCCTCTCTAAATAAAGTTGAGAGAATGAGTGTGAAAAATATAAGCAGACAAAGTATCTCACAAAATGAAAAAGCTTCATGGCCCAAAAAGAGCTCTGTCGCTGCTTGAGTTCTTATATAGAACTTCTACAACCCAAATGAAACCAAAAAAGAAAAAAACTGGGTAGCTCTTTGCTGGCTTCTTGCCTCAGTAGGGTTATGTAGGATAGAACGTGACGCTTTTTTGTGAATTTGGTGTGTTATGTTGTCAAATATACGTACTTTATACATACTAGAACATATCAAGAAAATCGAAAGATATAAAATGTTGATTTTGTCCTTTCAGTATTAAAAAAATACAATATAAAAAGTTACCCACTACAAATTCAAATGCATAACATGTGTGTGTGGAACGTCTAAATAATTCAAGTTATATATATATATGTGTATTTTTTTTCTTTATATAAGCCATATTAGAGGAGGAGAGAGTTGAATTTAAAAGAAGACAAAATTCAAGTCATAAGGTTTATTATTATTATTATTTTTTGGTGGATTAAAAATTCAAGTGATAATTTAGTTTGTCTTTACAGACACAAAATTCTGAGTCAAATTAGGCACAAGAACAAAACGCCCAAACCCGGCAGGGAGGAGGCCAATGATATTATCGAAAGGGCAAAAGAAACCATAGGGGCATTTTTGATATTTTAGCCCCATATCAAACTTCAGTTCAGTTCAGTTAAGAAAAAAAACCTTCAGTTCAGTTCGATCGGACTAAGCCACTCTGTACGTCACGCGCCACTTTCCTTGCTGAGCGAGTGTACTTGCCGATTTTCCGGAAACTCTCCCGCGACTCTCCGATCAGGTAAACCCTGAAGACTCATCGAATTCTAATTCTAATTCAATTTGCCAAAGCATTCACCTGCTCTGTTATCTGTTGTTTGTTTCCCGAGAAAATGAAGAATTCGAGAAAAGAAGCCAAAATTCTGAATGTTATTTGTATGTATATCAAGTTAGTACTCAAATTTATCTGGTTGTCTAATGGACTCAGCTGGGTAGAGTGTTATTTTGTTAGTTCCTTTTTGTTTGATCGATTTTCACTTTCAAATTCAGTGAAGTTTAAGTTATGTTTGTCAAAACAACTAAAAAGTTGTACCTGGGTTGATTGCTGAGAAAATGGAGGAAAATCTTGAAAGGGCTGTTGGCCTTTTTGCCTTTTTTGGTGCTTCAACTTTCAAACAATGTGAGGAAAAGTTTACTGAACAGTACCCAGAAATTTAAGCTGAAGTGATGTTTGTTTTTCCAATTCATAAGAGTGCAGATTTTACAATTCAAGATTAGTTCTCGGGTTTCTTGTTTTTAAGGACCAAACCCCAGATATGTAGGGTCTAGTGCTCTGGATAGTAAAGAAATCAGTATATTGTTACTAACTTTGAATATTTTTATTCAAATGTTCAATGAAGGTAGCTGATTCTATTAGGAAATCGTTTGAGAGATTAGCTTCGAGAGTTGGAAAGTGGAGGATTTATGCTAAGTGTACCGGGTTTTTCGACTTTATTGTTATGTATTCTTGTATGGCTTTTCCCTTCCTTGTTAACTGGTTTCCTGGCTTTATGTCTGTTTAGATATGGATGAAGTTTCACTGAACACGGAGCCAGCGGGCGATGATGATGCTGATGAATTTGAGATTGAAGGAGACTGTGCAATGACAGATTTTATCAGTCAAACTGGCATTATTCAAGGAGAGAACCCTCTCCCTCCTGTTGTTGGAATGGAATTTGATTCTTATGAGGATGTGTATTACTTCTACAATTGCTATGCCAAGCAACAGGGATTTGGGGTTAGGGTAAGCAATACATGGTATAGAAAGAGCAAGGAAAGATACAGAGGAAAACTTAGCTGCAGTAGCGCAGGTTTCAAAAAGAAAAGTGAAGCAAATCGCCCAAGGCCAGAAACTAGAACCGGTTGTCCAGCAATGATAAAGTTTAGGTTAATGGACTCAAACAGGTGGAGAGTTATTGAAGTTGAGCTTGAGCACAACCACTTGATTAGTCCAGCAAGTGGAAAATTTTATAAATCTCACAAGAGCGTAGGTGTTGGAACTAAAAGAGCGTTGCAGTTAGATACTGCTGAAGAAGTGCAAAAGATCAGGCTATTTCGAACAGTCATCATTGATTCTGAGGTTAATGGAAGCATAGATGTTGATGAAGGAGAATCGGGGAATAGAGTTGACTACTCCAATCAATTGAAGCTTAAAGAAGGAGATGCCCAAGCAGTTCAGAATTACTTTTCTCGCTTGCAGTTAATGGATCCAAACTTCTTTTATGTGGTGGATCTAAATGAGAAAGGATGCTTGAGAAATTTGTTCTGGGCTGATGCGAGGACAAGGGTTGCTTACAGTTATTTCTGTGATATAGTTGCCATTGACACTACATGTTTGGAAAACAAGTTTGAAGTCCCGCTGGTGTCATTTATTGGAGTAAATCATCACGGACAATCTGTGCTGCTAGGCTGTGGTTTACTTGCAAGTGAGACAGTTGAATCCTATACATGGTTGTTTAGAGCTTGGCTTACATGCATACTGGGACGCCCTCCTCAAGCGATCATTACCAGTCAATGCAGAACATTGCAAACTGCCATTTCTGATGTTTTCCCTAGAGCTTCTCATTGTCTTTGCTTATCACATATAATGCAAAAGATTCCAGAAAATTTGGGAGGATTGTTCGAGTATGAAGCAATTAAAGAATCTTTTAGTAGAGCAGTTTACTACTCTCTGAGGGTGGAGGAATTTGAAGCAGCTTGGGAGGATATGGTCCAGCACCATGGAATTAGGGATCATAAATGGCTTCAAGCATTATTTGACGATCGGAAGCGGTGGGTTCCAGTATATTTGAAGGATATATTTTTGGCAGGGATGTCCCCTGTGCAACCAGGTGAGGTTGTCTCTTCATACTTCAAAGAATTTCTTCATAAAGATACTCCTTTAAAGGAATTTTTAGATAAGTATGATCAAGCTCTGCAAACGCATCATCGGCTGGAAGCCTTGGCAGATTTGGATTCAAGAAATTCGAGTTATATGTTGAAGTCAAGATGCTATTTTGAGTTGCAACTCTCCAAAGTGTACACTAATGACATTCTTAGGAAGTTTGAATCGGAGGTAGAAGGAATGTACTCTTGTTTCAGCACTAGTCAGTTAAATCCTGATGGGCCAGTCATAACATACATAGTGAAGGAACAAACTGAAGTTGATGGAAATAGGAGAGAGGTGAGAGACCATGAGGTTTTGTATAATCCATCTGAGATGGAGGTCCTTTGCATCTGTGGCATGTTCAACTTGAGGGGATATTTGTGCAGGCACGCACTATCAGTCCTTAACCAAAATGGCGTGGAGGAGATCCCGGCTCAATACGTCCTTTCGCGATGGAGAAAGGATATTAAACGCAATTACATTTTTGATCATAGCTGCAGTGGCATTGACATTAATAACCCAGTTCACAGGTATGACCATTTGTATAAATGCATTGTGCAAGTTGTGGAAGAAGGGAGGAAATCACAAGACCGATACAAGGTTGCATTCGGGGCTTTGGATGAGATATTGAATAAGCTTTGTCTTACAGAGGATCCCGCCCTGTAAGTGAGAAATTATGTACAGAATGAATGGTGTAACACATGACATTAAGGCACCACCTCTTTGTAGCTGGAAATTTATGTACAATTTCTTTGTCATTTTTCTCTCATTTTATTTGTTTGGTAGAAGCTAAATAGAACCGAAAGAATATGACATGGAAAACACAAATCACAGCCCCCGATAAGGAGAGTCTAATAAAATTCAGATTGTGTTTTGGTCTGAATATGAAATTAAAGTAAATCCTACACACCAAATTTATTCAAGAGCAAATTGTTAGAAGGTCGTTTTTTCAATATTTCTCATGGTTGCATTTGTGATCAGATGCTTCAAGCATATTATAAACACTCACGACTAAAGGCACCAGTTATATTGGCTCTTCATTTTGTCAAACATGTGGCAGGCACCAGACATTCTAAATCTTGGAGCTTCTTTTTTTTTTTTTGGTCAAGAAATCTTGGAGCTTCAATTATACAATAGCTTGATGCTTCAAATCACCCAAATGTAAATACAGAATAACAGCAATCTGTGCTAAGAATCATCTATCCTTGCAACTATTTGACGTTATATTTTTGCTTTCATAACAACTCAAGTAGACATTTCCTTCTATTTCATCATGTCATGACCAAAACTTCCACAACCAGCTTGTAAAGGGATGTGCATATTCACAAAGAAAATGAGTCATTGGTCTGAAATGTCATTGGCAGAATACAACAATAGCATGTACGGCTACTCAAACCAAAAATCAGAATCAATTTGTCAAGATATTTATCAAACTGACTATTTAACCCAAAGTTCTGAAGCTTAACCATGCATGGCAAACCCACCTAAGTCCCTCAACCTGACCCTTGGTCCAGTACAGGAAGTCTGCAATGTAGACTGATTGACTTGTCCATTTGATGGGAACCAGGAATGAAAAACTGGAAGATCACTGTCAAGCAAGCACCTTGCGGAGCAATCCCATAGAAAGCGCAATCCGGCTTAGCCAAGTGGCACTGAAGGCTCTTGCCAAAATGCTTCACACTTACTTGCACAGATTGAGCATCTCCCCTCAAAATAGCCCTTGCTGACCGAGTCTGAGCACTGAGGTTTCCATCTTCAGATGGAGCATCAGCTCTTTCACCTAAGACCAACAGCTTCTGAAACTCAGCACCAAGTGTGATTAATGTTGTGGAAATCTGAATGTGTAAATCCCCATACTTGCTTATGGAAATATTGAGCAACTCGCCCACATGCCTCATCCGATCCACAAAGTTCTGCAACTGATTCAAATCTGGAACCTGAACCAGAGTCTGAGGCAAATCTTGAGCCATATCAAGAGCAGTTTGAAGTTCAAGAACCTGAGCTCTGGACAAAGGTTTTGAGATTGGCACATCCTGAATTACAGCAGATTTATAACCCTTGGTCTCAAAAGTAAGGAAAGGCATTGGTTGAGTAGAATTTGGAGGCAGCTTCTTAACCAATTTAATCTGGAGACGATTGGCGGTAGGCCCATTTCCAAACTCAGTACAGATGCTGACACTACTACGAAGAGCACGGTGGAGAAGAGAAATGTCTACTGCAAAGGCAATGCGGTCCTCATTCTGGCTGGAGATGCGATAGTCATCGAAAAGAGCTTCTTTGCGAAACTGAGCAATAGACTGAACTCCATCACCATTGAGAAGGTTGTGGAGGAAGATAGCATGGTCTCTATTGAGGTATAGATGGCATATCTTTCCCATCTTGTCTAGTGCTGGTAGGAACCTCTTTTCCAAAAGATTTACACCATTCTCTGTAAGAAATGCCTTGAACTTCATCTCTCTATACTTTTCTGTTCCTGTCTCACTTCTCAAGAAAATGATTGAAGGCAAGCCAAAGAAGGGTTAGTGCATTTATTCATCAGTGCAGAACGTGATTAAAATTGCAATCTTAAGATGGTTACACCCGTAGTTTTTATATATGCAAGCCCATTCTTTTATTTCCTTTATTCCACCCATAGTTGCCTAATTCGCTCACCCCTCTACGAATTTCGATATGGATCGAGCGTACCCAATCGCGGTACGGTATCGATCTGGAAGGAAAGATTTAAAGACTCAGCTCCAGAGAAGAGAACATTACCTGATAGATGACGTCGCTGCTACACAACAGTACCTGACCGCCGACAGCAGACGAGCAATCGAGGGCTCATGAGGGAGAGTGCTATAGCTGATGAGCCCACATGATTCTTGGTCTCTCGGAAGATATTGGTTCGGAGAGGGTTTTTTTGGACGAATAGATTCCACGAGGTGGGATGGGTGATAAACGGGTAGGCGTAAGAGCAGTTCCAGCGGACAGCCCACCCCAGGCAAAAGGCCCCGGTCTCCCAAAATCAGCTCCAGCGGATAGGCGCTCAAGTCTGCGAAAAAAAAACACATTCGAAAAAAATTATGAAAAATTACCAAAAAATTCAAAAAAAAAGTTATACATACTTATAAAAGTGTAATTTATTAATCTCATACATATAAGTAAAATTAATTCCATGTGAATAGTAATTGTCCATGGCTTGCCATAGGGGTTAAAGAACACAAAAAAATAAAAAAAAATAAAAAAAATAGGGCATATACTATTTAAGTGAACAATAATCGCCCTTACTTGCCCTTATCCTTTGCCATGGCAAATGGGTGGAATGAAGTGCTCTAAGGGGGAACGTACTAGAGATTGGGTGGGTGGGTGTGTCAATATAATAAAAGTACTACTTCTCGTTTCAAGAATTCATTCTCGTTCTCCTCAACCCTATGATCCAAGGAAGTTGTGATTAGTTACCCTTGGATCTAATCTAAGAGTTGAGAAAAACATGGTTTAAATATCACCATTACATCTTTTATTTTACTTTTACTGCAGTAAAAATACTATTTTAGTTATTAAAAAATATTGAAATTAAATTTATACCTTTTTAGCGCTTTGCTAACAAAATGTTCCTAAAATTTATATAGGAACCGTGTGTTACACATGCCATTGTATTAAATCCTGAAAGTTCCTATAACATGTTATCAACTAACAAAAATGGAGATTGGACTCATAATTCTAACGAATGAAACATTGTTTGGTGAACTAAGTTTGGTACTATATATTGCTCATAATTAATATTGGCACTAAACATTAGAGTTTTGGTTTTGCTCTTTTTACCTGAAGCTCATATTCTAGGATAATGAATATAACACCAGCGATAATCCCTCTTATTCCACCTCCATCAATACTAAAAATAGTGATCAGACTTTCGTTAATGGGAGAATGATGGGATGATTGTATTTTCTTCAGGAGTGATGGAGATTGAAGAAAAGGAAATGCGCAAGGCTTAATCTATCAATGGCAAATGCCAGAGAAATTATCACGTCTCAATGTTACAATCATTCGAACATCAGATATTCGGTAGAGAGAGAGTTAAATCACCAAGTCATATACTCTTTATCTTTTATTAAACTGTCACCAATAATCTTTACATGAACACGAGCCTTGTCTGAAATGGTGAAACCGAGTTCCATCCCTAACAATCACCTCTCTATCATAAACCTTGGAGACCAACTTTGCCATGCTGTGGCAATCCACAGATTCTAAGATTATTCATGATTCTAATTGTCACACCAGGTCCTGAGCTGATCAGTCCAAAGGCAAGTGCTAACTTCTCACACTGCCTGCATACTGCACTCTCTTTATATCCTCCTCTCCTATATCAAGAAAAACCTCCGATGTATCCGGCGAATACCCCGCAAATTTCAAGTCTTTGATCATTTCATCCAACTTGGAATAGATTTTTTCGGATTGAGGATGTGACCGATCCCCAGCTACGAACTCATGGACAATACCATTCAACTCTATCAAACTGCAACCAGGGGTTTTCTTGATTCCCCTATTCATCATCATTTGCCTGACTTCACGCAAATTTTCCCATTTATTGCAAGCTGCATATATATTGCACAAGAGAACGTAAACAGCCCCATTGTCCTGCTCCAACTCGAGCATCTTTTTAGCTGCCATTTCAGCCAGTTCTGCATCTTTATGCATTCTACAAGCGCCAAGAAGAGCTCCCCACACAACTGAATTTGGTTTCATTGGCATATTCTGTATAACCTCAAAAGCTTCGATTAGATGCCCTGCTCGGCCAAGAAGATCCACCATGCACCCATAATGTGTAACATTAGGCTCAATACCATGTTGGGTGATCATACTAGCAAAAAACTTTCTTCCTTCGTCCACCATGCCAGAGTGAGTACACGCACAGAGAACACCAATGAAAGTTATCTGGTCTGGAGTTACCAAAGATTCTAACATCCGAGAGAACATGCCAAGAGCTTCTCTACCATTTCCATTAGTAGCAAGGCCAACAATCACTGCCGTCCATGTAAATTTGTCCCTATGAAGCATCGCATCAAAAACCCTCAAAGCTTTTTCAGCATTTCCACACTTGAAATACATGTCTATTAAAGCATTTCTAACAAAGGTGTCATTCTTGATCTTGTTTTTGTCAATGTAGGTTTTTATCCATTCTCCTAGTTCAAGCGCTCCTAGATGTGCACAGGCTGTTAAAATGCTTACCATAGTGTACTCATCTGGTTTTACATATGAAGTCTGCATTTGGCAGAAAAGTTCCAATGCCTCTTTGAACCGGTTTACCTGGAGGTACCCATCTATTATTGCAGTCCAAGAAATATAGTCTCTTTCTGGCATCTCATCAAAGTAGTTTCGAGCTAAATCAACTTGTCCTGAATTGGCAAACCCCTTAACAATTGTAGTCCAAGAAATTACATCCTTAGTTTTCATATTTTCAAAAATTTTAAGCGCAGCATTCATTTCCCCACAAGCTACATACATATCAACCAAAGCATTTTCCAAAACTAAAGTGGGTTCGATCAGGTACTCCTTGACACACTTATGAACCTGTTTCCCGGCATCTAAATCCTTCAATTTGGAGCAGGCTGATAGCACCGAGACAAGAGTAACTGAAGTGGGCAATACTCCCTCTTTCTGCATGCAATTGAAGAGCTTCCAGGATTCATCATACTTCTTGACTCTATTGTACCCAGAAATCATTACATTCCAAGTAGCAACCTCCTTCTCACAAATCATATCAAAAACCCCACGTGCCATATCAATTAAACCACAAATAGAATACATGTGCACCAATGCATTTTGAACAAAAACATTAGAATCAAACCCATACTTCAACACAGAAGCGTGAAACTCTTTGCCACATTCCAAAGCAATTTCACGCGTAAATCCCTTCAACAAGAACGGGAACGTAAAGCAGTCGGGCTTGACACTCAACCTTTGCATTGTGAAATACATAGAAACCCCATAATCAGGGTAACGTATCCTACTATAGCCTTTCATCATGGTATTCCAAAGAAAAACACTTGGTTCAGGAATTGTGTCAAACACCCGATGGGCATACTTCATGTCGCCAAACTCATCAGTACAACAGAAGACTATAATTCTGTTAAGCACCACTGGATGTGCTGTGAGGCCTGTTTTCATTGTTTGGGCATGGATTTGCTTGAGTTGGTCCATGGACTTGCAGTTCTCAAAGAGAGTAATTGGTGGGTTTTCAAAAGACTGAAGGTAGTGGGTTCGAGTCACAGAAGCCATAGAGATCATTTTCATGGACTTTAAAGAATGATGAACTGAAAAGCTTAAAGATGAGTAGAGCCAGTGAGTTTTGACTTTGAGGGCAAGAAAGAATGTCATACAAAGAGAAAAGCATCAGATGTTGTATGGGTTGTTTTTCTCTTTGATATGATGAACTGTCCAGAGATGAAGTTAAATATGTACACACAAATTGACGTAGGCTCAAATCCTGTTAGATGTGATTTCTTTTTAAAGTAAACCAATATGAAGAAAAAGACACCATCATTATATATCATGAACAAAACAATGGGGGAGAACATCTTTTCAAAACCGTCCCTTTCAATTTTTTTTAATTTTTAAAGAACATCTTTTTAACAAGAATTACTAAGGTAAAAGAATCAGTAACTCTACTCTACAGTTTCATCCCAAGGAGAATTGGATGGCTTCAAAAAGTATTAGGAAAACGTAAAAAGAAATTTACTGCTCATGAATGATCATAACATAAAGCTGCAAGTAAAGAAAATCAACATTGTAGGAAGATAACAGAATCAATCGAAGAATATGATTGCACTGGACCAATTAATCTTGCAGCTGATTTACTAATCCAAGAATGTAAACAAGTGCTATACTAACACAAAATTTTGGAACTGTAAGCATCCTAAGATGGAGGAAAAACAAAATTTAACTAGCATTGTGTTAACATCTAAAAACCATCAAAATGAGACTACCAATGATCTACCTAAAGAACAAAATGAAACCTATGCCTAAAATTCCATTTTGAGAACATAACTATCAGAAACTTAAAGTGCTGGAGGTTGTGGGAATGATCCATATTTAAGCCAATCTTTGGCGCAGATAAGGGCCTCAAGAGTTGCTGGACCCAATGAAGTCCGATAACTATCCATTCTTTTTATTTCAGTGTCAAACACAGAGTCAGAGGCAACGGTAGACACCGATATCGACAAAATATCAGAAGCCATCCTAGAGAGAGTTGGGTACTTCATTCTGTTCAGTCTCCACCAAACCAGAACATCGAAGTCTTCCACTCGATCCGTAAAGGCCTCTTCCAGATACTGATCTAGTTCTGACTTCATTTGCGGGCCACCTGTGATATCAGATATGTACAATTCAAAATCTTGGAGCCCATCCACAGAAGACAGCAGAGACCCCTCCTGAGATGCTTCTTCAGGTGCCTCTGTTTTGATGATGCTGTCATTCCCTTCATCCATTGGTGTTTCAGGTAGAGTAAGCATTTGCATCATGTAATCAAGGAACAGTTCATGAATGCCATCATCAATAATCCTAATCCATGTCTCGGCATTCTCACCATAGATTCTGTTGAACTCGAGCTCTACAATTTTCATTTTGTACCTCGGATCCATAATAACAGCAACTGCTAAAACAAGGCAGCAGTTTTCCCAATATTTGTCAAATTTTTCATACAGAGGTCTCATCAGGTAGCTGACAAAGGGATCCACACTCATGGCTGCATGCATCAGTTCCATTTGAATTCTTGATACTTCCTGAAAGAATACATTGGCTGAAGGGTACACTGGGGCAGTTACAATGTTGGCTGCATCGAACAAAAGCTTTAAGTATGTGCATAGAGTCTCTACCTGCTTCCATTCCTCCAACAATATATTTATGTTGTAATCAGGATCATATGTATCCAAGCAAGCAAATACTTCCCTCAATTCACAAGCTGCCACCAACATATGATAAGTTGTGTCCCATTTAGTTAGGTCATCGACTGAAAGGTTCTTTGTGCTAGGAACTTGAAGTTGTTGCTTCAGCTGAACAAACTTTTCTTCATGGGATTCTGAAGTTTTCACAAACTTGACGCTTTCACGAACTTTCGCAATTGTTTCGCGCATTGCCACCAGTACATCACATGCAAGACTACTCAAAACGCGAGCATAGCAATTTCGTAGCAATAACTGACTGTTGAGCATGTGTGGGTTCTTGACAGAAAGAAGTCCTTTAAGATTTCCAATTATGGTTTCATTAGAGAGGGATTGGTCAAGTGTGAGGGTAAACAACCTGCCCTCCAGATGCCAATCGGATAAGCAGGTCAAAATAGCTTGACTAAAAGTGTCACCTGAATCTGGAGATGGTACCATAACAACATTAAGAATCTGACGATATAAATTCCAGTGATCATCAATGAAGTGTCCTGTTAAGAATACATAGCCCAGGTTCTGATTTGAAGTCCACAAATCCACTGTAAGGCTGACCTTCCCTGGAATTCCACTGATAAGATTCAAAAGGTTTTGTTTTTCTCTAAGGTAAATACCCGCGCATTCATTTTGAACAGTGTTCCAGCTTACCAAATTGAACTGTGGTTGAAGTGTTTGAACAAAATTGACGAATCCTAGTTGTTCAGCAATGTGAAGTGGATACCCATGCATAATTATCATCTTAGCAATGTCATGATTGCAACGGTCCTGATCAAAAGAGACTCTCGCATATCCAGAATTTGCTCTGGATCGTCGTTTTGGTGGATCAGTAGCAGCAGTATTAGAGCCTGGTGTAAAAGAAGTCATCTGATTTTTCTGACGACTTACTGGGCAGATTCCCAAGGCAATATGTCGTTTTAGGTGGCTTGTGCCTGCGAGCTTTGAACCAGTAATGTAAGCAAAAGATCTCTTGCACTGCTTACAGAAAGCCTTAGTACTTCCAGCCCCAACAGTTTCAATTGTGAAGTACTCCCAAACAATAGACTTCTTTCTCCTGCGCCTGTTTGTCTGGGTTTCTGAACTGGGTAACCCATTATTATCAGTTGGAGTAGTAGGAATATCCATCTCCCAGTAAGCAGGCGAAGTCCTAAAACGGATTGAGAATATAATGAATGAATAAGCAGATGTCACAAGCAAATGAAAATGCCGGGTTGATCTACCAGTAACAGAGGAACACAAGCCAAATTCAGCATCAAAGAAAAAGAATTCAGAAAAGGAAGTAATATGAAATTCTTTTAACAGACCCACAAAACTAAGTGTCAATACAGATCCATTTTAACATTAATGGGAACCAAAGTCCTTATCAGAGCCTGTTAGTTGACAAAAGATTTACCTACATGAACATAAAGATGATTTAAATAAGTCTGAAAAATAGCATATTGGGCTAGTATTAGATACTTCGGTTCAACATAAAGATGCAAAATGCATCACCAAAAGCAGAACAATGAACCACAGGGATATAATTCTTCCCATCATTACATCACCTAAAACATGAGCACAACTTCTTAAATTGAATGATGAATTTCTACAAGACGTTATTAAGTATGCAGTGGAATTATGAATCACAGTTACATATGTATACAAACTTGCAAATTCTGGAAAAAAAAATTAAAATAAAAACTAAAAACTGCTAAAAAAAGAGCTATAATCTTCTTCTTTTTTGGCTAAGGCAGTGTAACCAAGACCGAGTAGTTATATAACTTAGGCTTTAAATTACCACCGTGACATCATGACATGCGTTTCATTATGGGCCTGAAAAAGAAAATGCCCACTACAGACACGGAGAGCCTTCGACCGAAAAAAAAAGACCAGATCCCTGCTGCACGTGACTTGTACCTTATGCTAAAAGTACAAACTGTCCTACGCAGAAAAGCAATTGTACCTTGAACATAAATACTACCAAAAACAGATTAGAACGCGAGGATACTTTTGAAGTTTCGCGACTGCAGCTATATCTGTGTTTTTGCATATTTTAGTTATAAAAAAACCTAAATAAAGCAAGTAAAAGGTAATTAGGTTTCTGCAGCAACCAAAAGTTAAAACTTAAACCCTATAAACACAATTACTCACGCCACACAAATTGAACAACATAAAGCCCTAATTTTTCTTTTAAATTGATCAGAACCCAGAGAGCTTAACCATTCAGAACAATCAGAGTGAACCTCCAAAAAAAAAACCAGAAATCTGCGAGTAAAGAATACAGAAAACCAACAAGTTCAAGATCCAAAATTTCAGAAAACCGAAGACAGAATTAAAAGGAAAAATTTCTTACCCTAAATTGCAGCCCCGAAGATGAAGAACCCGCCTCTGCAACTCCAAATTTGAATATTGGTTAATTTCGAGTCAGCAAAAAAAAAAGAAATTCAAAATTGGGACGAAGAAGACGAAGTTGATGGGCTTGAGCTCGAAGGTTTTGAGCTTTCGGCCGATAAACCCTAATGGACCTAAACCTGAAATTAGGGTTCGGGCTATGAGCTTTTAGGCCTTTTTGTGCGTTTTTGGGATTACGAGAACGAAACGACTTTGACTTATTTTGCGGCTTTGGGGTCCATTTTATATAAATATGGGTGATGGTCCATTACACCAATCCGTGTGGTCGTACATAGAGCCCACTTTCACTTAGCTTGATCTGGACCGTCCGTTTCAATGGATCCCACCTGGCTTAGGAGTTTGGTTTTGCCGTGGAGAGTAAGAAACGGCTAGGGAAAGGAAAGTTATATTCGAGGACCAATTGGAGTCCGCCACGTGTTTTTACTTGCCCTACGGTTTGGTCAAAAGGTTGGATTTACACACTTTCCATTTTTGTTATTTAACTTTTATGGCAAGTTTTACTTATTTGGATAGAAACCTGAAATTATTATATTAATTAGAAAGAGATGGTAATCCAATTCCAATTTATTTTCTGTTTATATTACTGATTTCCTAATTCATGCCTTCCCTATTTACTTACAACGCTCACCAATCCTACTTCCTCACATCGTTCTTCACAAGAATAATGTTACTCTTACTACATTTGTATACCACATTATGTGGTAGATGAGGTTGACAACACATCAATTAAAATTAATTTAAAGTTTTCTTATCTTTTATGATTTATTGACACTTTTTAATTGATGTGATTGTCCATTTCATCTGCCACATAAGGTGGTATGAAAATATGAGATATAAATGTGGTAAGTGTAGCATTACTCTTTCAAAAACCTTAAGGCCCCGTTTGGGTGGGATGAGTGTACTAATAAACCTTAAGGCCCCGTTTGGTTCACGGAATGAATTTGAGGGAAAATCATTTCCCATGTCATTTCCCAAGGGATGTGAAATGGAAGATTCTTTTCCCACGTTTGGTAATGTTGGGAAAGTAACTGGGAGATATCACTTTATTTCCTTTCCCATGTTTGTTTCGAGTAGGAATTGAAAACAAAGTTTGTATAAATTTTCAATTATACCCATATTAAACCAAATAAAAAAGAATGCATTTAATGGTATATTGTAATTTTAAATTGTTAATGGGGACAAAATGGTCAGGAATAATGTTTATTTAATATTGGCTCATTTTTCCAAACTTTCCCATGATAAGGGAAAACAAAACCCAAGTTTGGAGGATGACTTCACTTTCCCCCCTACTTTCTCATGGGCCAGGCAATGATTTCCCATATATGGACTTACCAAACATGAGAAGACAATTGATTTCTCATCCCCAAGTTTCCTTTCCCATAAACCAAACAAGGCCTAAAATGAGGAGTGAAGAAATAAGATGGGTGGGAAGATATGAATGGGGTGGAAATAACAACATTGGGTCGAATTGGGGGTGGGTATGCCATTCTCATCCTCATCCCCATTAAGCATTTTCCCCCATCCTCGCCTTCATACCCGTAATAATCAAATTGGGGATTCCCCATCCCTGCTTTCATTAGGGAACGGTTTCCCCAACTAGCCCCATTACCGAAAAAAAAAACCCATAAAAAACTACTCTGTTAAACAAGAAAAAAGCACTATGAGCACAAGATATGTATTAATTCCATTTTATTAACTAAAAATCTAGACTATTTTAAAAAAAATTAATACATGTCAAAACTACATGTTCAAGAATGATCATCATTATAGAGGTGGCACTACCATCATACATTTTAATAATATAATTGCATGATAAAATAAAAATATATATATATTCTAAATGGGTAGGGTTGAGGTCAGGGATTCAAAAACCATCCCCACCCCTCCCCGAACACCATACCCGAAAAATTCCCCAAACCTGCTTTTTATCCTTCATACCTGACCCATTAGGGTCGATTCACTGCGAAGATCCTTACTCGTGGGGAAAATTGTCATCCCTATTGTCAGTGTGTAATTTTTTTAATTTTTGGGAACAAATAATTAGAAACTTAGGTTTGAAGTCTTCGTTTGTTTTATTATTTATCAGCAATAAGTTTCTCATTTAATAACTTTAATATCAAGTACTATACTATTTTTATTAATTATTATTATTATTATTTTAAGCAAAGCGACGGTAGTTTCTCATTACATTATATAGTCTCGGTCACCTAATGACCTAATAATGAGGTCATGCGATCATTTAGGCCGCTAGGTGAGCGGGATTGAGATTATATATATCAAACTTATCAATCCAATACAAAATCAAAACCAAAAGATTTTTTTCTCTTCCCATACCACCACCGGCAATAAGAATTTTAGTCACCTTTTATTTGGATGGGTAGGCTCGAGTTTAGCCATTTATGTTTTATGCTTTCAGTTTTGTTTTTAATTTGAATAACAGAATGGATTAATCTGATCTTATTTCTTTGTAAGTGGACATTGAGAAAAATTAAGCAAATAACTATTGTTATTGAAGCCAGGTTCCTCCATTAACCTTTTCTTAATCTTGTTCTATCCATATTAATTTCCATAAAAAGCTTGTTTTATTAGCCTTCCCGCATCATATAGGTTCTAGCAAGCAAAAGAGAACCAACCCTCAGTTCATACCAGCAAGCTTACAATGTAATTTTTTGTGAACATATATGGAAAAAGTTAATAATTAATATATATATATATATATATATTTTAAAGGTAATCTTTTATATAAATGTAAGACCATAAGCAATATATTTGTTTGGTGTTTAGGACTGAATTGGATAACTCACTAAATTTAAGGCATGTTGAAGAAAGATATAAAGAAATTTTTTCAAGTTGAAGGTTGAATATGGATTACTCACGAAGAAAACTTACCAATCTAATCCTTAAATAATGGTAGGATATATCAACATCTTATGACTTGAACCTTCTAATTCACCTAAAATGAAAAATTGTTTACCTCTACCTTAATTTCCTTCCTCAACGTACCTTAGGGGCCCGTTTGATAACTATTTCAGTTTTTAGTTTTCAATTTATAGTTTTTCAGTTTTCATTTTTTGAAAATTAAAAATTGAAAACTTGTTTGGTAATTAATTTCAGTTTTCGAAAAAAAGTGCAAAGTGAAAACTGAACAAAAGTTGTTTGGTAACAGATTTCAGTTTTCAGTTTTATGTGGAACTTGAAAATGGAATTTTTGGGGGTCAAATTGTGAATTTTAGATCGTTGAATGAAAGTGCATGTTACAAAGAGTTTGTAGTATTTTCAATGAATTTTTTGGATTTAGGATTATTTTTTTGTGAATTTTGGATTTGGAGGTTTCGAGGATTGGACTGGGTCTGTTGCCGAATATAAGAATCAAGCTGCTGAGTCCAAGTTGGGAGGTCCCAAATGTTGAGTTTTAGTAACTAGAGTGCATTTCATGTGTGGTGATGTAAAAATAGTGAATGAAAAAGGAGAGCAAAAAAAATATATTTTGAAAACACTTTCAAGTTGTTTTCTAAAATAAAGGTGATTTTGAAAACTAGATTTCACTTTTTTTTTTTATAACTGAAAATGAAATCTTTTACCAAATATGCTTTTAGTTTTCATTTTTCAAAAAAAGTGAAAATAAAATGGTTATCATACAACCCCCTAAATTTATCGAGTTATCCAATTCAATTCAATCTTAAACACCAAACGAGGATGTTGGTACTCAATTGCATATTGCATGAGTTGGTTCA